AAAAAAAAACAAAGACCGAAACAGCTCTTTTTGGAGCCACATTCACAAACTGATGCTACTGCTTTACATCCTACATGAAACAACACCAATGCTGTGACACAGTTGATTGTCTTCCAAGGGCCAGGGGAGGATACATACAACTATTCTGCTTGTTAGTGATGGCTGTGATGTCCTCTGTTGTGTAAAATATGGGATGAACTCACACCTAGTATGAAAAGCTGAATTCAAATTGAAGCTAGTGTGATTTTACACATCCATTTTCCCTATAGGCCAGCAGGGGGCGACGTCTCTCAGCTTGACAAAGAAGTCAGTTTCTGTAGAAGTGCATGAAAAAAATGAGTGTACTTCTGTCTTGATTAATGAACTCTGTAACCACTTTCCTAATGAGTTTTTCTTCTGAATTGCTAGTTTCAAGTCTTATTTAATACAGCTCGGTGTTCACTTTGTAAATTATGGTTCCGTTTAGAGTAAAATAGACGATAAAGCAGGGCAAGCTTTAGGGCATCACTATTTCACCATTAACAAGTCGCTACCATACGAGCGTGCAGTATCCTGAGTTTGAGTCTGATCCAAAAACCATAACATGCAGTCTGTGCTTCAACGGTGCTCCAAAAGATGGTAAATGTCCGCCTTTCTTTTACGATTTCATCACTCTTTAGGACAGTTTGGTTCCAGACTCGCGTGTCTAGTGAGAAAAGGATAGTTTACTTATAATAAAGACCTCAGTCGTGACCAAATGTGTAGTTCGACTGTGTTTTCTCTCAAGGACTCTGTTCATTCATTCAAACAATCCAACACTGAAGGCTTCACAAAACATAAATGTGTCACCATGGTGAAAAATCCTCTGCTGGAAATAAAAGCAGTCGCATTTATGTCGTTCTAAGGAACAGTTGCAAATACTACTACTACTACTACTACTACTACTACTACTACTACTAATAACTGCAACAATGACAGTAGTCAGTTCTGCTGAGTAGATGGAAGCGCCCACAGAAACCTGTGCTTTAATAAAAAGTTCAATTCTAAACCCGAGTCCAAGCCAGATAGCATTTGCCTGAGCGTGCTGAAAATCCGAGTGTGCAGACCGATTAGTTCCAGCGCCGACTGAGAACATCTCGACTCATGTAAGACGCCCGATTATAAATCTCCACTGGCCTCAAGTCCACAGATGAGACAGAGCAAGCTGACACCCACAAAGCACGTTTTAAATAGATGCTACAGGTCGGCCCACGTCATAGACGTCGGGGTACAAAATCTTTAAATTCAGCCAGTGCACGAATCAGGTGTAGCGTGCATTTTGTGATAAAATTGTTTCCTCTCTACAGTGCATCCTCTCCAGTCTATCTGCAATAATTTTGATTATTTTCTTTGTAAAAATCAAACTATTTCTGACACGTTTTGTCAAACATTGTAGTATTGCTGTGGGGTTTGGCAGAAACCTACATCGAGAGTCTCCTGGCACATACCGCAGTCAATCATAAAGTGTGATGTTTTCATCTGCTGTAATCTATTTAGCTCCAGTTTACTTCATACATACCTCTATTGGGTTTTATGAATGGTGCGTGCTCTTCTATTATGATATAAATGACTTAGCGGGGCATCTGACGTGGATTGCTGCTTTATCAGAGGCGAAGCCAGAACCTGGGTACTCATATTCTGAATAATGCCTTCAGCTCTGATAAACATTCTGCTGCCTCAGCATCTTTCAGGGATTGTACAGCTCTCACCCACTCACTCTTGAGAAGCAGCATTATAACCTGACACTTTCCCCCCCCCAGAGTCCTTGTGATGAAAGAGACTGGCAAATCCAGTCAAGTATCTGGAGCAATTTCCACCTCATCCTAATCCCACCCCTACACTCTGGAAAGGCACTAATGTACAGTGGGTGGACACAACAACACAAACAGTATAGATATCAAATGGCCAATAAGAAGAGGAGCCGGCATTTGGCATCAAAGCAGCTCTATAAGTCTTTATTTTACACCGTTCAGTCCCTTAAGTGGTTGCGTGTAGCGTGTAGTGAGGATTGCTCATCTCGGAGCGGCATACAGCCTCCACTTCTTCTTCTAAAGATGAAAGATGTGGAAAAGGATTTCGGTCTCTACGGATCCCGTAAAGGTTAAGCGATGTTTACAAACGGCAATTGCGGAGGCCGGGGCGATTCCTTGGCCTGATGCGGGCAACAATAAAAGCTCTTTTGAGTTAAGGTGAATATAAGATTACATTTTTATCTCACATTTCTTCTGCTCGCCACTCCCCCCCCTCCCTCCTCCTCTCCTCTCCAGACTATGAGAAGATGTTTGGCACCAAATGCCATGGCTGTGACTTCAAGATTGATGCCGGGGATCGGTTTCTGGAGGCCTTGGGCTACAGCTGGCACGATACGTGCTTCGTCTGTGCTGTAAGTCATTTTGATGGATATAGCTCCTTGTGGGCTCTCTTTGCCCCCGTATCTCGCAGCTGTCCCAGTACAATGGCACCTGGAGAAAAAAAATTTGCCTCCATGTCTGGACCTTAAGCTTTCTCCCTCTCTCTCTCAGCCTGTCACCTGCAGTCTATCACTCTCTATATCTCTCTCATTTTGTGAAGAAAACTGAAAGCAAATGCAGTCAAGTAAAGCTTGCTCTGGCCACTAGAAACTGTGTAAATTCACATCAGCAGTGTTGAAGTCTGATATCTACTCTGCCCTCGTTTCCCAATCCGTCTCTCTCACTCTGTGTGTCTCCTTTCATCTTTAAAGCTCTGCCAAATCAACCTGGAGGGGAAGACGTTCTACTCGAAGAAGGATAAGCCCCTGTGCAAAGGCCATGCTTTTGCTCCAGTGTGAGAGCGCGAGGTGCATCTTCAGAAGAAGGAGCACCGTTCACTCCCTTCTCTTTACCCCCTGACACTTCCGTAGACGCACCACATCCCTTCTTGCCACACACCTTGTTAAACTAAGTCCTTTCTCTCTGTGCTGCAGACTTTGTTTTTGTTCTCGAGGCTTAATGCTGGCTGCACGTACCGTCACTTTACTCTGCTGTTAGGAGACTTCTGATGGCACTGCCTCTAATGCCAAATGCTGTGTTGCATAACTGGAAGGAGTCGAGGAATTATGTCACGCCATCGGTAACTTTTTGACTTCCAAGTTGTTTTTAGGTCATGAAAAAAATGTCACCGCAGGTCACGTCGATTTGTAGTTGTCAGCGGAGTAATCTCCCGTCTCTGTTCTCCTCGTCCTTGTTAATTCAAGTCACCAACTTGAAGGAGTCATTGAGCCTCTAATAATGTCTCATATTGCAGTAATGATCAAGCAATTCTCTTGCACTAAGTGTAGTGAAGTGCTGGCCCCATACAGGACCCCAGCCCACTCATCGGCTCTCACTGCAGCGCCCTTTAATGTAATGGGGGGCCAGTCGAGCAGAAAAGGAGGTGTCCATTTCTGCTTGACTGGATCTCCTCCACAGAATCACTAACTACTTATTACTTTGACTCTGGCAAGTCAGAGCGCACACTCCAGCTTGAAGAGTCATTTAGAATGATGTAGTAATTAACCCATTTTTAATCGTCATACACGCGGGTGATGGAGATTGATTTTTAACTTTTCCTTTGATTTGACTTTTTTTTTTATTATTATTAAATGAGACAAAGTAAGTCTAAGTGTTCCCCATGTCACTGTGATATTATTCCTTAGAGTACTTTCACATCACTGAATCTGTATTTATATTGCTTCAGAAGTGGCCTGTAAGTGTTGTTTTTATTGCAGCTGAAAGTTTCAAATAAAATTATTTAGTAATTCCATGTGCCGGGTCATTTTGTTTCTCTTGGAAACACTCCCATCTGTAACAATTTTTTAAAATTGTCAATTGCCATCTTTGCTCTTTTTTCCAAAACCCTGCTGAAGCCTTTGTATGCTCCCTATAAATATAATCAACAAAGTGATACTGAAATAAGTGGCATTTTATCTTAACTGGTAGGTAGCCAGGTGCTTAAAACATCATTCTTGCTGGAATAGCTACATTTTTGTTTAGGTGAGAAGCTCCTCTTAAAAGCTTGGCATCAGCAGTGGTAGCAGTGGGTCAGCAGCTAGCATGCAGTCCAGAGTTTAAAAAAACAAAAAACTGACGCCAAAGGTGAAGCTCACAAATGGATATTTCTTGTTGTTGTTTTTAAACACACAGCGTATTCTTTTAATCTTTAACCATTGGAGCGCACTAAGCTAACCATTTGTACCTTAAGCTAGGCTAACTGTTACAGACTTTAGCTCAATGGTTATGTGTAGTGGAGACGCAAGATGAGGGTCCTGAGATGATCAGAGGTTTTACAGTTCATGAAATGTTGCACACTTAATTTTTTTTTTTTTATTTTCCAGTGGTCTCAAACTCCAGTTGTCGAGGGCCGGTGTCCTGAAACTTTTCCTTGTGTGCCTGTTGCAACACACCTGAATACAATTAGGTCATTCACAAGACTATAGAACTGCATGCTGAGGTGGCATTTCAGCCATTTGATTCATGTTACAGCAGCTCATGAGTGAATAAACATGGTGCAAAAAATGTACTTTTAGAAGTACTTTTTTTCCAAACGCTTATTTAAATTTACTTGAGTTGGGAAGGGGTTGCCATCTCAGCATGCAGTCAAGTTCTAGTCTTACTAATGACCTACTGATTTTATTCAGGTGTGTTGGAACAGGGACACATGGAAAAGTTTCAGGACACTGGCCCTCGAGGACTGGAGTTTGAGACCCTATTTTAGACCATTACCATTTAGAGAGGAATCCTCTAAAAGCATCCTGAAATTTTACAGCAAAATCTGTCAGGGAAAAAGATTTCCCTTGCAATATTTTTTTTTCCCATCAGATTTGATTGGTGATTCTGTGTTCATATCCTGGTCACCACAGAAATTAGTGAGTTTAGATACAGCTTTAAAGTTAATCCCCAGCTATGTGCCCAGAGGTGTTTTAAAAATGGATGCCAAGCATTAAAACCTGCTTCTTTGTCTGAACCATGCATTGATTATGACATGTGCCAAAAATGTATCTTTGATCAAGTGAGCAAGTTCAGTCTACTAAACATTTTAGTTTGAATATTTTAATCAGCTTTTCTGGCTCAACTTCAATGCAGGATGAGGCAATAGACCAGTGGTTCCTCAAACTGGAAGACACAGGATTATTGCTGGTGGGGCGTAGATAACCAGGGGGAAATATACAGATTGAAAATAAACTGAATAAATAATTTTTGTAGTTCAAATAACTTATTTGCTATGAAACTCTTGGCTTTTGAACAGAGTCATTATAGTTCTGTTTTCTACTTAGTTATTTTGTTTGGCGTTTTCGTTTTTCCTGGTTTAGTTTGCTCTTTTCATTTTACTTATAACTTTCAGTGTTATGAGCTATAAGGAGGGTATTTCTCAAATCTAGTAAAATCAGCACCATCTCACAACAAGAGGGTTTTCTCCAGCTCCTCCAGTTTCCTTCCACAGTCCAAAGCCATGCTTGTTAGCTTATTTGACCTTAGGTGTGAATAGTCATCTGTGTTAGCTATGCAATAGACTGGCGACCTGCCCTCAGCGTACCCTTTCCTCCGATGACAAGCTCCGGTGTAGGTTTAATAAAAAGGTGATGTACGTGTAGGTATGCAGACATGGTAAATATGACCTGCGGAAGTTCAAACCGGAGCATCAGAATGGGGAAGAAAGGTGATTTAAGTGACACTGAATGTGATATGGGTGATTTTTGCCAGACAGGCCATGTCACAAAGCTAATGAATGTACAGCTGATGAATGTGGAGCAACAATGTGTGTTCACCTTGCTTACTCAAGGCAGGACAGCCAACATAATAATAGGAAATGTACCTAATAAGTGGACTTGAGTGTGTTCCCTCATTTCCTGTTTCATGTTGGTGGAGAGCAGAGTCCCAAATTTTTCCCCCAAAGGTGCTGAGTCACGTTACAAAGGTCATACTCAATGAGTCATACTATTCAGTGAGCCCTTGTGTGCTATGAGTGGGAGCACAGTCATCCTGGAAGAGACCATCAGGATAGAAATGTTTCATCATAAGGTAAAAATGATGACTCAGTAGTGATTGACATTGGATCATCTTGTCCCCTGAGATGGAAATGTCAAACTATGACAGCAAAATTTCCCACAGAGCCACTGGATCCCTTCACCGTAGCAGGAAAGGCTCCAGGCTAATCAGCCAAAAAGCTTTGCATTTAATCCCATGGCAAGAAGAACAACAGACGCATTTCATAAAAGATCCAGGCCTTGATTTAACAATATATAATTTATTTACAACAATTTTCGGATTGAATTACTATACATACCTTTCTGAAATGTCATAGATAGATATATATACATAAGGCCAAGTAAATACTTGAAAGCACTTAGAAACGAATTTCCAAAATTCTACCCACAAATCCATATCATTGTCCAAAAAAGTACAGAAAATCTCCCTTAGCAGAAGTTTTTCCATCGCCACAAAAGTTTCGACAACAATTTACATTAACGATAGGGAACACAAAAAAAGGTTAAAAACAAAGGAACATAAAGGAGGATTATACAATTGCATAAGCGCTGTGGCATGTAATAAATACAGCATTTTTGACTTGCAGAAAGGCAAGGAACATTGAATCAAGGAACTAAAGAGAAAAAACCATTCACAAGTACAGAAGTCTATTGTTCTTACTTCAAAAAGAAAACAGTTTAGTAAGAGTGACGGGGAGGTATGCACACACCCAGTCTCTCTCACACACACACACACTCAAATACATCCTTGACACTGAATAGTAATGAGTGACACAAAAAGTACAGTGCTGAGATGTTACATTTCTCCCCATAACACAGGGGTGAACTGACAGTATAAACCCTTGAACAAAGCTTGTATGTTACTGACACATACTTACACAGAATTATCAGGCTTGGGTTTTCTCTCAAACTGTATTCATCGCACACACACGCACACACACTGAGTCATAGCAGAATTGTTAGATTTGTCGGACGAGCTAGATGTGAAGATAAGATGCTCAACATCCTGGCGGCTGGTGAATTACATTACTGAAATGTGCTTAGGCAACATATCCAAGACGATGACGGAGGGGGGGGTGAAGAAACACACATGCGCTCTGACTGTACAGCTGCCGTGGCTCATCTAAACGTGCCGCGCCGACGCCGGCTCGTCAGCGTCCGAGAACCGACGCCCTCGCTCTCCAATTAGCCACGCAGCTCGCCCACCGACGCGGTGACTCGTTAAGCACAAGTGACAGTTTCCACCTTGGATTTTTAAATGCTTACAGTTACAGGAATCATCAAGTGCGCAGAGTTAAGGACGAACAAAACGTCGACAGAAAGCTTTCCTGTGAAACAGTCTCGAAACCCTTAACACTGCAAATAGTCTGCTAGATCGCCAAACAACAGTATATAGGCAAACACGTCACGGTTTTAGACTTGACAAATGCTGCGCCAGTTAAGTGTCTTTTTTGGCTTCATATTAAAATATAATTTACATTTGTTTACAAAGTGATAAGGTGACACAGAGTACTGCGTAAACAAACAGCATTGAGATGCCTTAAAAAGAGGGGAAAAGGAAAGACAATGAAAGAGACAGCTACTCTAGAAAACAGTGGATTTGTGGACACGGCGTGAGGATGCGGTGGCCCTCGAAATGATATTCAGAAAACTTTGGTTAACAATTCTGCTGATATACAGTATGCAAAGTGACAGCACACGGCTGGTATAGAAAAGTATTTACAAATTATGCACGGCGATCTGATTCAACTTGAAAAGATTTTGAGTTTCTGATCATTTTCACGGCATCTTTATATAAACTGGTAACGGGACTCTGAGGGGAGATGTGGTTAAACGAGCAAGGCGATGGGTGACGGTATAAAAAGAAAGTCAAACTTTCTGCCTGCTACAAGGAAACTAATGTACATTCCAAAAAATCTGACAATCATTTCATCTTAAAGGTTAAAAACCATTTGAGCCCGCAGGATTGGGCCGTCCTCGCTGTTTGAATGGAAAGGGGCGGGGTTTTCATTATAGCTTTGAACAGACAACTTCACATGCAACCCTGAGGCAGACACAGAGAGAACCTATGGCTAGTTTGGGACTGCTCACACCTCACCGAAGGAAAATTGCTAAACGAGAAATTTTTGTGTTTGTTTGACAGATTCGTTACGAGAAAAAGAAAAATACTGTTAGTGAAATACGACAGAATGCAAATGCGCCGATGCAGTTTATGGATTTTTGCATGAATCTATTGGATAATTGTTGCTGTCTGGATACAGATAGCCAAAAAAAAAAAAAAGAAATCCTTTCAAAGCATCTATTTGTGAGCAGAGGGGGTGACATTATGAAAAAGCTGCTCTTTATTTTATCTGAGAGACGGGCTTCTCTCTGATGTGGAAATACTGTTTGCCACACAGCAAATGCAGAATTCCCACCAACATTGCTTTATGAATAATACAAACAAAGCTGCACAATTACCCTTTCAACATGAGTAATCTTGTGATGATTTTGAAGAATTTGTTGTCAGATTTTTCTGAGGGAAAGTGCTCTACATAATTCATATGGAATAATAACCCTTCGGGCCATGTTTTTAGACTACAAAAATCAATGTAATCAAGAGGAAAATGTCATTTTAGAAATGAGCTTTGACGACATTCAGTGTTCGCACGTGCAGTCGGCGTGCCTCTCGGCCCTATGGCTCCTTCATTAAGCTGTGGAATTTAAAACAGAAACGCCACGATGAACGATTGGGGTAATATAAAATGTGGAAACCTTATGGATCAAAATCAGAAGGCTTTAAATAGAAATTTCCTTTAAAATATGACTTTAAGTCAAGATATTAATCACTTCAAAAAAAAAAAAAAAAAAAGGATCCAGAGAACCCAAACCTCACATATATCGATTTAAAAGGGGGAAAAGCTGCAAAGCGTCTCACTGAATCAAGATGTCAAGATGTTAGATTCACAATAGTGATACCGGCTGGACTACAACACACACAACGCACACACAAACTACATGAGATGGGTTTTTGGGGGGCTCAGACACACAATCTGTTTTTAAACCAGCAAGTCCAGAATCCGCTACAAGCCGTCTGTGTGTTAAACAGATTATGTGACTCACACGCACGCACACAGTCTCACTAGGTTGCTTTAAAATAAAATAAAAAAGGTAAAGAAAAAAAAAAAGTGGGCTAATCTTCTGAGTTGATGTCATGTGACGAACCTGCCAATTGCATATGTTGCTGGTTCTCTTTAACCTGAAATGACCTGCACCCTTTTTTGCCACCTTCCTTTTAACTGACTGTTTAAAAACACACGGTTTTTGAATCCAAGTTCAAAAATTAACGACTGAATTTGCAATATTGGCCATTACTAATAGCGTTACATTTGCATATTGCTCCTTGTTAAGCCGTACGCGGCCTGTTTAGAAGAGTTAATTTGATGTTACCTTTGCAGCAGAACTAGGGTATGGACTAATTTAACTTGGGTCTTTGATGGGAAATAAAAGGTACTTTCTCTACTGAGTCTGTGAATACGTTTTCCCCAAACACACACACACCCAAACTCTACCCCCTTGTTCCTCATTTGGTCTGTCATTTAAAGATTTTTACTGTGTTTGATGGGAAATAGGGACTCAATCCTACATAAACACTTTCTTATCTTCTAAAGTGAAGAAAAGGAACGCTGGGACAGCTCTGTTCTTCGATTCCCGCTGCAGTTATTGTTTTTTTATGTGTGTAAGAATGCGTATTAGTGTATCACGTTGTGTACTTTTCCTCGGCACCAGTCTGTCCCTCTTTTCTAGGTTAGCACTCGCCATCGGAGACCAGGAATATCATGGCTTCCTGTTTGCCGATGTCGGCCATGACCGTGGCCAGCTGGTTGATGTTGCCGCTGTGGAAATGTTGCGCCTCCCATAGGTCCAGGATCACAGAGGTTGGGCTTGCTTTGGATGCAAAGAAACTCATGTGTCTGTAAGGGTGAGAGAGCAGAGAACACAGAAAATTAATTAAATCAAGCGACGCGCACACAGCAGAAAGCAGAGCCTCTCATTTTCTCTCCACCTAAAGAGTGTCAGGAAAACCTTTCACCAGGTATTTTATTGTGCTGCCTCTTCTTCTAACTCTGTCAATGTCAGGTTTTATTGTGGGTTATATTGCTACATCCTGATATCTAGTGTCGGCGCACTAAGTAAAAAAATGATAAAAGCTACAAGAACACAGTCGGAGCTCTTGAAACTGCCGTTACGTACAGACTCTCTAACAATTCTCATTTGAAGCTTAACTCCACAACCCTCATTCCCTCTTTATTTGATGTTGAAATTGGCCCCAAAATCCCATATAGTAAATCCTATATGGACTTTCACAGTTAAGTCGGAAGTGACCTTTTCTATTTTGGGAGCAGAACCTTTACGATCAAAACCAATCAATGACAACAAAGCAGTGGCCCGAGTCAGCTGGATATTTGATGTTGAGTGGGACCTTATCCCCGCTGTAGCCGAAGATGCTTGTTTGATTAAATGGCATTTCTCTGTTTTCCCAAATGTTCGGGGCTTTAACTCTTATGTAGAACCCACATGACATTAAAAAGGAGAACGATGTAAAGCACAAAGAATCACCGTGCCGTGTGGGTGTTTCGGTGAGGGGGGAAAGGGGAGACAGGAAAATGCCACCGAGCCTTTTTCACCTTGAGAAAGGTCAGACGGAGTCCGACTTCCTCGTGTCTTTCTGTTTGCCTGGTGAAGCATTATGTGGAGGTTATAAACACGTGACTGCAGCGGTAGGACACAAGCACCGGGAACACATCGTCACCGTGCTATTTTAAGTCAATTGGATTTTATAGAACGTGAACGGCTCTGGCTCTGCATCAGGACAACGCAACAAAGAGGAGCGTTGGTCAAAAAAAAAAAAATCTTTTGGGAATGAACCTCTGTGTCATTAAAAAAAACCAAACAAATGTGTCAACCCTGCTTATTCACCTCGCCGCGTGAAACAAGAGCTTATCTTGTATGGCTCAGACGCAGCCGCTCGCACCGTCTTGGGAGAGAAAGATCAAATAAAAGCTTCTTGGCATTTTAAGTTTTATTGATTGGTCCCGTTCCGCTCGGTCTGAACACTTTACACGCGCAGAAACAAACACAGAAATGCAGCATGACAGAATGCCAAGGAGCTGCAGCCTTTTGAGGAAAACGCGTTGTTAAGGACAGATCAAACAACGGAGCAGTTGTTCCTTCCTGAGGTCTAAATGAGAATTGATTATGTTGAGCAAAACATTGCTAATTAAACCTGTAGTGCATCAATTCAATTTGTGATTAATTGGGGTAAATAAAAGTTGATTGGACAAATTAAGTGTACCTATTTGATTTCATTACCAGGTAGAAATTAAATTGGAGGATAAGAGATCAATGCCCGACTATGCTCTTGTTACAGGTGCTCTGGTGATAGAGTACAGTAGCTGTGAGAACGAAGTGGTCGGCACAGATCCAAACCTATTCCAACTTTATCCCCCCCCCCTCCCTGCCGCTGATGGGCAGCTAGCTCGCTGCATTTCCAATTACAGCTGTTAAGCAGAATGTAGCAGGTAGAAGTTTAGCTGCAGACTTTAAGCTTCTTACCTGTTTCTGAGGGAGAAATGAAGAAGGGGGTCATGTTTTCTTGCAGAAATGATAGCTGTATCCATCAAGTCCGTATTAATCCTATAATACTAGCTGTGTCAAAAGAGGATTAGCTTGCTAAAGCATTACTCTGTTTACCTGAACTTTAGGAAAAACACTCCGCTGAGGTGAATCACTCCACACCGATTGTGCTTGATTACTGAAATTGCACTTTTTTTCTGCCAACATCTGTATTAGTACACCTCTTTACTATCATTATTTTGAGTGAGCTGTATTCACATATTGTGCATAACTCTGCTTTGAAACCTCACTTCTCAAGAGGTTTGGATAAATAAGGCTCTTCAGAATTTCATCGGAGCTTTCAAAGCTAAGCTGCCGGCTCCGACATGCCTTGACAACGATCAGATCAGCAATCAGATAAGGCGTTATTTTAAAGCTGAGCTTTACCTCTCGAGTTTAAGTCTTTGTGCTAGCATTCTCCAGTCGGCTCCGTTGGGACAGGGGGCGTCCAGGCTGCTGCAGATCTTCTGCCTGATGAGGTACGGGATCTGAAAGGCGCTGGGTCCCGCCAGAGCTGTGGCGTTACTGTCCATTAACAGAAACTCAGAGTCCAACGCTCGAGTGTCCTGGAAAGGGGGTGGGGGTGGGGGGAAGCCACACAGGTTTTCTGAGCTCAGCAGAAAAATCATCTCCTTTACAAATAACCAAAATGATAAATAGTAGCCGCGGCATAACCAACCGCAGCTTTTAAGTGAGCAGAACGAACGTTACCTTGGCAATGTTAAAGTCCAGGCTAAAGCTCTGTCCCTCCCCCTCCACCTGCCACACACACAGCTGGCAGGTGAGCTCGCAGGTGCTGAGGCTGAGCCGCTCCAGAGTGAACGTGCAGTGCAGGTACCGCTGGGAACCGTTCCAGATGTGGTAGAACGGGATCTCCTGCAGTAGAAGAAGAAGGAAAAAAAGAAGCACATGCAGCAGCACAGTCAGAACTGCATGTCTGAAACGCGCCACAACACGACCGCCTGCCTAGAATACACTGAGATTATCATTAATTACACTGACATAAGCTGTCATCATTATGGCTAAGTATATCTGAGGCAGCGGAATGACAACGTTCAATTAAGTTAAAGGGAATAAATGCGCTGTTACTGACAAATAGAATCTTTAATAGGAGTTAAGAGCTGCCAGCCCGACTCTGCTGATAACAGAAGAAATCAAACTTTGGATTTTAATAGATTACACACGCAATCTGTCACGCTGGCAATGGAAGCATTTCTTTTTTTTCCCCTTTTCATCTATTTTCATTAACTTGCTTTAGCTTTGTACTAACTTTCAGGCAGATATTCAAATGGTGGCGTTAGTGTAAACGCTGAAATATCACACCACTACTTTAAAGCTAAAGCACATCACGCGGCAAATGCATAAGCATACTCAATAGCTCGGAGTATTGCTGCTGTATCGGCTTCAGCTTCTGTCTAGCAAACGGATACCAGGGAGTCTTTGGGAGAATGCATTTGAGGCTGCAATTTCTACCCCTCTCTCTCGTCTGCTGCATATTCATGACTTGTTTGCATAACCCAGGAGAAGCACTGTTGTAATGCTGGAGAAAGAGGGGGAAAAAAGTGCACACTAACTCCTCGCTTTACCCGAGTTCAACGGCTACCAGGATTCTCAGTCGAAAAGAAGTGTGGCCTGCAGCACATCCTACTAACCAAATGGGGGCACTGTTACCCAGGCAGACTGGCAACAGAGCAGCCGAGTGAAACGCACAGAAGTCTTCATGGGCCCCAGGGAGACTAAAGGCCTTTTTGACTGCACTGCTGAGAGGGGAATAACACTTCCAAATGAACAGGCACAGTCCAGAGGAATAAGCCTCTGTTCTGGGTGCATTGTTGCCGCCTTGCTTGCTTGGCACAGTCTGCATGCTCTCATTGGGGACCCGGTACTCAATGCTCACATAGTTACAGCCAGAACATTTTCTAGTCCTGGAACATCCCTTGTGTGTGCATACGTCGGGCTGCAGTGTAACTGGCCACGCGCAGGTGCGGGGAGTGCAGTAAGGTGGAGCCGATCCAAAATTCAGGTTGCAAAGTTCGAGATATTTACATACTGCTCTATATTTCATACGAGCCCCCTTTGAGAGAGCGACAGCTAGTATAATCAATCAGCTTGCAGCCCTGAGTTAGTGCACGCAATTCAGCCCCTCTATGCACATGTATACACTACGTGCACACTCGCGGTCTAGGCACAGGGGTGCACACACCAAAAAAAAAAAAAAAAAAGAAGGTTCCCTCTACTCTGACAAATGACAAAGTTCCAAAGTGTGCCAAGAACAGAAAAGGTTATTGGACAGCAGAGTCCTGCAGTAACAGACTTAGAAACACTTCTTTGTGTGAATCTTTAAAGTGATCAACTGAAGCCAAACCAAAACATGCTTAATTAAAAAGTCTGGCCCAACTCAAACGAAAAACAACTTTCCAGAGACATTAGGAGACCACGAAGCCTCATTAACAATAAAAAAAGTTTCTCCCAAATAGCTTCTGAATAGTCAGTAACTTTTTAACTTTTGTTAACATGCGTTCAATTCATTTTTTACTTTTCTGGTTTAAACTAACAAACGGCATAGATTTTAAATTGAGCTCATAAACAAACACATTTGAAGGCCTTATTACTGCCGGTAAACAAATTTAACAGATTCGGCCAGGCACTTGTATTAAATCTCCTTACTCCCGCACTGATCCAGAGTGACTCCCTGCCCCTGCAGCCCCTCAAGGGCAGCCCAACGCACCTGGTAGCCGGCTAGCAGCTTGCTCCTCCAGTGCGCCTGGGGCATGTCATGGATGGACAGGCGCAGGTTGTGGTAGCTGTCTTTGAAAAGCAGGACGTGAGGCTCGTCAATCAGCCGACCCCCGAGCTGCCGCTCCATCTGCATCACCTCCTGATCAAAGAGAAAGAGGCGAGAAGAGGTGTCAGGGCTCGGGGATGCGGGGGGGTACATTTACCAACGCACTCGCAGAGGTAAGTGAAAACGTGTAAAAACAATCCATAACTGTTTCCTGTTTACACTTTGTCTGGTGCATCACTCACGCACACAAAACGGTACCGCTTTGGAATGAAAATGTATCAGCGCGCACACACACACGGGCGCACGTCCAAAGAAATACACAAAGACATGGTGCAGACACTGAATAGATTGAACTCAAACAGAGAGAGACACACACAAAGGCCTGTTTGCGCGCACACACACACACACACAGCATGAGCATGAGGCAGGGGTACAGTACATCTGAGGAAAAGAAGATAGTGTCTCTGCGTGCGGCCACAAAGGACTGGACCGACTCCGTCTCCACGGTGCTTTAATGTCATCGCAAGGTTGATCCTCTGCCTCGGTTTGTATATGCCGGTGTTTTCTGCATCTGCATTAGCATGCAGGAACTGCAGCCATTCCCAGCCTACTGGCTACCTGGGCTGTGATGAAGTAAGTGAACGAGCCATTAGTCAACTGCTCATTGTTCTCGCATGGCGAATCTCCTTAATTTCATTTTTGTTTTTGTGCCAGTAGAGATTTGTAAATGCATGCTTAATATTTTAATCTCTGTGGGACTTGCTCAGTGGACCATTTGTTGCCATCCAAATGACCATCTGGAATGGGATGATAATATCCGGCACATTTGCCTCTGATTTATCAATTCGCTTTGAGCTGGATGCTTTGTGCTGAACATGTCCTCAGAAATCCAGCGCTTTGGTTGCCATTCACATGTACTGCCTCATACTCCAATCATAGGGGCATACTACAACAGAGAAAACAGGCCTCTGAAATTAGTGGTGTGAAAACACCTCCAAAATAAGACATGTTCTTTTAATCTGTCTGAGGAGGGGAAACAAGATGGCAGCAGACGGAAAACAGTCAGCCCGGGCGCTCCTCGGAGTCGTACCTCAAAGACAACAGCTCCGAGAGGGCGAAGTGCGTATAGATGGTTGCCATATGTTGAACGCTGCATGCCAGCATGGTTGCCCATGGTATGATTTCAGCAAAGACATCCAATTAAGGTGGAGAATGGTGGTAATTTCTATCTGCACAACACTGATTCAATTTTCTGCCCTCTTTCCCAGGAACAGGCTAGACTGATTCCAATTATAATGGAAAGAAAGCTGTTAATTATCCATTTGGAATCTCTACCTGCGTTATTTCATGTGCTCTCCCCTTTGACGAATGAGCAATTTTTGGTTCAGGCCGACAATTGAATTTCACTGTTTGTTCGTTGCATTGTTAATTTCCATGTTTGCTTTGTGCTTATCTTCTTGTTAACGTGATTATTATGCCCCTTGTGATTATCTAGATTGATTCCTGAATTTGCATTGCTTTACCTTTTTTTTTTATTTATTTAAACCGTAAAAAAAAAATCTAAAATGATCTGAATGTATGCATCTAGCTGGAATATACTTCCCCATGCTGTGCCAGACAAGAGTCTTGTGATGTTACCCAGTCCACTTACTCAGAGAGGGAAGGTCAGACAATGGCGCTGAATCAAAGCGTCGAGGTCTAATGAGTTAATAACAGAGGGCAGCGCGTTCTCCACAGAAAAGCCCTCTGCTATTATGTCTCTTACAGATACAAAAGCCACATTATGTGGGCTTCCAGAGAGGTTCATTTAAACAGTTCTTAAGCACAATTATTTGTTGGGCGGTGATTAGCATTGCAAATTGGGTGTTGGACTTTGATCAGGTTTTGACCTATAGAACAGATCTATAGCCCCGCTAGCAGCAGAACGAGTGCAGAATGCCAATTATCCTATTATCAAATGTGGCGACTAGAATGAATACTAACTCGAGACGCCTAGCAGCACGTCAGGTTCAAGGCCGGCACACTGGGATTACAATCAAAACAGGGTCTGGGACATGATTCTCTTGCTACCTGACAGGGACACTGAGGGGGGGGGGGGGGGGGTTGAACAATACAGGATGATGCATTTGCTCCTTTAAAGTGTGCTCATGTCCTCGCTTTCAAAATGACACCGTCTCGCCCGCATGTTGTTTGTGTGCGTCCGAGTTGCTGTGACTGTGTGTATTGCAGAGTGGCTTTTTTCTGCAGGATTTCAGCATATGTTCTGGACTGAGAGAATAATGGCCCTCTTTACGCCCCATTATCCTGTTAACAAATGACAGTGTGAGCGAGCTAATAGATGAGAAGCTAAATTTGACCGTATTATTTACTCTTTCTGGGAGGAAAACAATGCAAGGTTTGGAATTAGTTTATCAAATCACATATTAATCATGATTGCACCAGCTCAGTTTTGTTTCCCCCAATTCAGGGGAAAATAATAAGAGCTGTTTTCTCCTAAGGCGCCCTGAACCTGTACAGCTATGGGAGCATTGAGATGCATGAGATGGGCAAGAAGTTCAAGTACCGCAGGAGAAAAACCCCTTTTGTTCTGACGGAATTCGAGATAGCCTGGGGTGTGTGTGAAGACTGTGAATTTAGAGTCAGGCAAAGCCAAGACCACCCCCTGACATTCAATGAGGCTGGCTAAAGAGAGTGAGATAGAGCAGGGAGGAGTGAAAAGAGCAGGAGAGGAGAGAGACAGAGGCAGCTTAACATTTGTGTCTCCAGGTCACTAGAGTGGCCAGCTTTAGCAAGAGAGATAACAGGATTACTGCAATCATGGCCACAGTTTTCTATGACTTCAACCCCCTTTATACGCTCACTCATGTCCCCCCACCCCACTCTCCACCCATCCCCTCGGCATGGACCAGAGCTGGGACTGTAATGGACTGGGGGCCGGGCTCCACCAGGAAACAAGAGACACTCATACAGCTAATCTCTCCGGGCTGGTGATGACAGAAAGAGGTTAGTGGCTGCACCGAACGCTCTCCTGCGACAGAAAAGAACAGCCAGCCTTGGATGCCGGGTGGAAACACAAACGAAACAAATCAAAGTATTAGCAGAGGCGTATATATTAAGAACCGGACTGGCACGAAGCTGCAGACTTTCCCCTCACAGCAAGGCCAAGCTGGTTCTTGTGGCCTTGTGTTGTGCCGACTTTGTGTGTAGCAAACTGATTAACACAACCAGCTCTAATGGAGATTATGAGTAGCCTTTGATCAGTTAATTAGTCAAGCTACATGTCATCCGAAACATGGAGCTATACATGCACACGGGCGGTAATATCCTCATAAACTCGTCCTCAGGTCCTCACTCTCGGCGACGCGGTGTCGTCGTGTTTAAAAATGTGCATTCATAGTGAAGATCCATTTTCAGAGCTGCTCTTTTCAGGCAAATGCATTTGTTTATAGAGAGTAGCCTGGCTATGTGGGCTCCATAAATCTGTGTATTTGTCAGCAGGATGTGACAGGCTTTTCCTCTCTGACTGAGAGTCTATCGGTCTGAGCTCCAGTGGCCGTGCCCGCTACAGTCAACTCTGATTAATAACTACAAATAGAAGGGACTTGTCTGCTCAGTTATAAATGGGGACTGTGTTTGCAAGGGAAAAGATGCACATTCTGCTTAATAAATCACAGAGCAGGACAGGAGAAAACAGCACACAGGAACACAGAAATATAATATGGAAACAATTTCTCAGCTGGGCTCAGTGATAAAGCTGACTGTCTTGTTTAACTTAATGCCAGCAATTACTGGGCTATGCTCTTCTGTTTTTCTTCTAGAATTTGTTGCCAGTAACTTTTGTAATGGAGGGATCAGAAAAAAAAACCAGCTTGTATTTCACTCCGTACATGCTGCTTTTCTCTTCTCTGTTACATAAAAGCTAAAAAGTTTCCGCTCAAACATGGCTCGCTGTTCGGCAGCTAGCTAAGGACACGTCATAGTGGGAGCACATAAACAAAGAGCCCTTTTTAACGCAAATAAGAATCATTGCTCGAGGTCAAACACTGTACAAAAAGAATCCAGGGACCACTATTTAACCAGCAAGACATCAATTAAACACCCATTTAAATCCTGGAACATACATTTCTACAACAGGGAGACAGAAAAGCTAAATGTATTGGACTCGTAAGGTGTTACTGATGAGGGAGTAAATCTGCAGTTGGAAATAAAACACCAGGAATACAAAGAGAGTTCACTTTTACCTCAGCATTTAATTCCTAGATCAAGACTTGGAATTTATGACTCTAAAAACCACATAAATGTACAAAAATGATTATTAATTAGACAAACACCTGTATACATATGTGACACACAAGATAAGCCACCCCTTGTATCTTGGCAACCGTGCCCTTTTATTGCAATGCAGCCATTCCTTTTGGAACCGGTTTTAATGTCTGCTACATCTAAGCAAATTTATCCGAGTCTAAAAGTATTTATGATGCTTTGTTTTTTAAGATGATCTTTTATGTTGGTGATCTGTCAACTATTTACTTCAATTATATTTGCACGGTGCCAACAACAGTTGCCTCAAGGCACTTTATATTGTAAGGTTAAGAGAAAACCCCAATAGTCAGATGACCCCCCTATGAGCAAGCACTTGGTGAAAGTGGGAAGTAAAAACTCCCTTTTAACAGGAATAAACCTCCAGCAGAACCAGGCTCATGGAAGGGGAAGTCATCTTCTGTAAACAGTTAGGGGTGACAGGACGAAAGACACGCTGTGGACGAGAGCCAGAGATTAATAATTACTAATGATTAAAGTGGTGTATAAACACAGAGTGTGAAAAGAGATAAGAGAAGAAGAGATGCTTAGTGCATCATGTGAATTGCCTAGCAGCATAGGCCTATTATAACAGGCAATTGCTACAAAACAATGCAAACTGTTAAGCTCAATATCAGTCTAAATTGATAGCGGTTATGGGAAAAAGTAAGCATCATGCCAGGAGTTAAATTGAGCCAGCCAACTTACCCTACCATAAGATACTGAAGTTATTTTAAATCACTTGTATTTCAGTGCAATATTACACAACGTGTTTAGTTTATCAAAAATTTATTTTAGCTACTAAGTATTTTTAATAGGGAAACTGTACAAGTACACCAAAATCATCTCTGATGAGAACCTTGCACTAGATTATAATCATATACACTGCCCTGCTCGAAGAAACAAGTCCCACTAATATTTCCCTGGATCATGTTTAGACTTGATGAGTTATTTACAACATTTATTTCTGTCTAGAGATGCATTACTCTTGTGCCAAGATCTTGTATTAATGCTGCGAGAGTCAGACTGTTGCGTAAAGTCTTCTCTAGCCCACGCCATAGATTCTCAATGGGGTTAAGGTCTGGACTCTGCGGTGGCCAATCCATGTGTGAAAATGATGTCTCATGCTCCCTGAACAACCCTCTCAAGATTTCTGTCCGATAAATCCTGGCACTGTCATCTTGCTAAACCTTGAGTGCAATGGAAGGCTGTTGCCTATTTGCTTAAATCCAGGTGGTGACCTTTTTTGTGTAGATATAGGGTAGGTCCCAGTTTTTCATGTGGAAGATGGTCAGTTTAACCGCAGGTGGCATACTCTCTCTACTTTTAAGATTAGGATTAAATTAAAACTTTCCTATTTGATAAAGCATACAGTTAGGGCTGTATCAAGTGACCATGAATCCTCCATTACTTACCCTGTAGTAGGTCTAGGTTTATTGCAGAGGGAAGAGATTTTCTTCTTCATTTACATTTTTTCATTCTATGCATAGATACACCACTTTGCATTTAATCATTGGTTATTGTTAATCAACTAATAAGCAGTCTCACAGTCAGTCCCACCCCATCTTATCACATCACGGGATTTCAGAAACTAATGGGTGATTATCAAGGTACCTGGGTCCATTTTTATACTGTCTATTGTCATGCTAACATACACAACCTAAGCAGCATGTCATAGGCAGGACTGTCCCAATTAACAGCTGCTCCAGCCTCTATGGTCTTTGAAGGAATTGGGACACACACATACTTATCGCTTGTTAGCAATGTTAGCTAAAAACGATAAGCATGTCAGTGGGAGCCTATAAAGAGCTCTTTCAAAAGTCGAACACAGTACATAACTGTACTATTTTTGCTACAACAATAATTAAACAAGAAACCTTTACTATATGCTCTATGAGGCTGCGTTTCACAATGTTTCACCATTAGCATGCTAACAACGGTCACTGGCAATGCTAATGCTATCACTTGCTAATTAGTATAAAAATCAAAGCCACTGAGGATATTAAATTTAAATTATTGGAATTGTGACAACATTATGGTGCTATCGTACAATCTACCTGAGCATCATGCCTAGCTGTATAAAATGTCATTTAAATCTGTCAAGTAGTCAGAGTGGATTGAAATGGTGGCTCAATCTGACAAGTACTGCCAAAGAAAGCAAATTAATCCAATCCAGATATTTATTAGAAACACTACTGCATCAGTATTTATTATGGTTTCTTTTACAATGTACTGGTTAATATGAGAAAAAAAAATCTGTGCTTCAACCTCAGTAAAAAAAAATCTGACAGGGAGTGGGTGGTTTATAAATCATTTTTTAAATGTTTTTTCTTAACTGTACAAAAAAACACTGGCCTCACAAACACAGACATGTGGGTGTAAAGGAAGCACATTTACTTATCAATAAACACAGATTTTTCATTAATGTTCCGCTATTCAAATTTGGATTATGCTCAGTAGAAAAACATACAGACTTTCAAAAGCTGTCAGATTGTGAAGAATATCACAGCTAAACATATATATATATATATATAAAGAAAAGCAGCTGCACCATATTCCAGTCCTGAAAGACACCCTTACAGTTAATTAGATAAAGGTGTTAGGTGTATCTCTCCTCCGAGTTGGAGGCTTGCTTCACTGCAGTTGTGGAATGGCAGAACCTCAGTGATGCTCTCCCACAGGTTTAGCTGGAACAAGCGAGCGCACAGCGAGGGCGCTACCAAACGCTGATTATGTCGCCTCTGCTGCTGTGCCAGCCTTGGCTGGGCCGATCAAGAGTGGGACACACATTAAATATTAACTTAATTGGTCCCAGCAGAGCCGTGCTAACATACGGCAAGCATCAGACGAAAATGTCACTGTTTCCCCAGAGCCCCCGCACACTTAGGATCAAAGACAATAACATTGGTTCTAATCTGCTGTAATTGGGAGATAAGAGATTCAATGGTACAGCATGCATAAGTGTAGCTGAATGCATTTGTGTTTGTGCGTGTGCGTGTCTGTCATTCTCCCTGATGGAGGCTTGTCAGCTCAGAGTGACAGCCAGCAATGGGACTAGTCAGAAAAGCTCAGCATCCCTTCTGGTTTCTACACTTTCCTCTCGCCACTGAACATCCATTTTATCTCTCGTCATTGAGCAGCCTGTTTAATGCATGGAAAGTTAACATCTGCGGTGCATTAGCAGGTTGCAAGCGTGGTCATAAAAGTCACATGTGCTGAAGGTGTACAGTACATACACTCTTCACTGCACCACCTCCCGCTGGTCCACCACTCTCATGCACTACAATTAACTCTAATGGTAGCCATAGTGAAAGTCTAATCATAAATGGTGCATTTTAAAGATAGTGATTAGTGATTAGTCTGAACCTCTCCAGGGAAGTTTAATCTCCACTCAAAGTAGTTAATGTACTTGCTAAATGAACTGCTCCCTCCATAATAGCACCAAGAGCAGTGTGGAGTCGAGATTACTAAGCAGCGTGGGCAACGTTCTAAATCACTCACTAAAAACTACAAAACCCTGGAGACGCCGTGGCTTACCACAGCACCAGGTTGTGTGAGAGACGGGGAGCTAATGCACTCAAGGGCGTCGAGGGAGCTGCAGAGTATGGCAGCACAAGTGCTGGAGTCAACAAGCTCAGATGTCCTTTTCTTGGCTAAGAGAGCCGGAGAATAGCAGAACAAGAGCTAGCCAGAGGGAGAGGAAGAGAGAGAGAGAGCGTTTTTGTGCACCAGCAGCCTTCCTGCATCCAACGCAGACACACAAGGTCATTTCAACAGTCGCATACTACTGGGTCATCGGATGATCTGAATAAAGAGAGCACGCTACTGTTAGAGCTACTCTAATGTCAAGTAAACATATGGGCTGAAATGTATCTGAGGAAAAACATTCTTTAGCTCCCGTGTCACATTCTTTTATACACATTTCATGAGATTTTTCGCCAGGACTTTTCCTGAGTGTGTCGGCTATCATGTGATAGCAGCAGGGACAAAACTGAAGCACAAACGGACAGACGTAAGGCATGAGAGTCTGTACACAGTTTTCATCTCATCTTCAACTCCCTGACTGTGAGAGCGCTAATTTCAGTGCAAGCTCCCATTGACTTTCGTTTGCCGATGTCCCGCAGACGTCCGTAGATTGCGCTTGTGGAGGGGAGGTTAGCCATTAAAGCCAGCGAAAGTGGACTCTAGCGGGAAGTGGCACTTGTGGCTGTGGGTGGTGTCAGAAGAAGAGGAAGAGCTCAGAGGGAGGGGAAAAAAAGGTGTGGAGAGAAAGAGCAAGAGAGAGAAGAGAGCGAGCGCACAGGGGTTGCTGGGAAAAGATTGGGACAGGCTCTCCTTTTAATTTACTAATTAACCATGCAAATGAAATCTTAACAGGCTACTCAGAGGCAGTTCTCAGGGGAGGGAGGAAGGCATTAGTGCTTGATTATACTCTGTCCATGTGGAGGGGGGGAAAAAGCGAAGTTGAAATATGCTGTTGAACAAAGTGATGGGAAACTTCTTGGCCTGTGGCAGCCAAGCAGAACCACAGCTTGGCTGAAAGGATTGAGATGTCTCCGTTGACATGGATGGAAAAAGAAAAGCAAAAAAAAACAAGTACAACAACCCAAAACACATACAATATATATTATGTGTTTAAGCTGGATGTGTGGATTGTTTCAACTGACTTAGGGTCAGTGTGTGTGTGTGTTTTGTGGCGGGGGGGCAACATCTGAACAAATGGCACAATCCCGAACTGTACATGGTGTAATCAGGCCTACGATATCATTCAATTTATCATAGCTGTACCTACCTCCTACATGTCTGTGCCAGTTTCTGCTAACCTTTCAATGTGACAGACGAAGCTGTTAGACATAATAGTCCACCTATCGCTCAGCTGATTCAAAACCGGCCAATCTCAGGCCTCACAAACTGCCCGTCACACACAATAACAGGCGGCGCCACAGTTTTCACAAGTTTACCTTGAAGACGTCCTGCGTGTCGTCCATGCAGTATACCCTGATGTTGTATTCCAGCGTGGAGCAGTAAGCGTCCGAGAAGAGCACCAACCTCAGGCGCTTGGCGGCGCCCATGTGCAGGGACTCGCCCACCAGGGCGAATGTACCCAGCTGCTCCGAGAAGAGCCGGCACGTCTCGGCCTCGAGCTGGCAGTAATAAGGGTCTGACACCAGCTCCTCTCCCATCAACAGGACGTCCTGGAAGAGGCAGGGGTGGGGGAGGAAGAAAAAACAACAAAGTGTGGATAGAAGGTCAGGCACCCAATTTATGTAGGAGGCAAGGGCGATGTGTTTGGATATCTGGTGTGTGTATGTGTGTTTGCAAAAGGCTTTTAGGACAGCAGACTGGCGCAGTAGAAGGGCATCAAACTCTATTGTTCGTGCTGTGTGACAGAGTAACATCAAAGGTAAAAGGTCTTTAGGTAATGTTTAGATCAGGGGGAAAAAGGTCTTCTTTGATCTCGCTTCAGATTCCTTTTTCGCCGCACTACGACTTACTACATCCTGACGTAAAGACACACACCTCCTCATACAAAGACATACATCCTATAGAACACCATCAGTTTCCTTAATAATGCATGAACGAGGTATTCAGTTAACATGAAAGGAGACTCGAACAGATTCCTGGCAAGAACAGACGCTTCTGCAGAAAGGAAAGACTGGAGGTGCGCTGAATATTGGATTATCGGGATTGCTGGAATTTCCTACAACGATTGTTTCAGATTTGTTAAGAAAGGTGAAAACAACTTGCCAATTTATCTGCAAAACAACAGTCTTGCCTGATGGTAAAAAGTGCTGAAAAACACTAACAGGCAGTACAAGAATTAATTGGTGCTTTAATTTGCCACGGAGAAGAAAAAAAAAAATGACAGGTTTAAAACAAAAACAGAAAAAAACCCCTCAGAAACAACACCTTGCATTTTTCATCGTCGTTACAGAGCTGAAATCCTGCATCGCAAATCCATCCTTAATAAGGACAAGACACCTATGAAAATATCCCATTCCATCACAGTACGGGATATTTTTCATGAGATAATTCCACTGCTCTCTGAGATAATTTGATGGAGACAAATTGGACCCAAGGTGACAACATTTTCTCTAAAATCCCTTCATGCCAGTTGACTGACTCTACCCATTAGCCAATCAAGCTGAAGAGAGCATTCTGCCTGCCAAATGCCCAGCGAGCCCCTGTAGGATCGATTCAACCAGACACCATCTACATCAATAGAATTAGTATTGACACAATTCATTTGCTATGCAACCACAATGGAGTCTCACTTTTTCATCATCTTAATATTTCTACAGAGTGGAACAGAGACCGAGGTGGCTCAATTACGCCACTAAGCGCTCGCTCTACGAGCAATTCATTCCTCTTTCTCCCTCTGCATGCCTGTTATCCATTTTCACTCTCTCGCCTTGCGTCGTCCTCGCCTGCATGGCGTTCCTCTAGATCTGCATTACCTGCCTGTCTACTTTTCCCCTCTTTCTCGATCTTATTTCTTTTTTCCCCCCCTTCCACTTTTCGTCACACTCCGCAGTTATTTCCACCCTCTCGTCTTCTATTCTCTTGTCCACCTCGCACTTTTATCCCCTTTGGTGTCCATGCAAGCCAGGCCGCTGGGCTATATTTGGTCCGGCCGATGATTAAAAGGGCTGGTCTAACCTCTGCCTCAGACAGGCCAATCCATCCCACAGACACCCCACCGCTGCCACATGGGGGGGAGGCTGAATAATTTATGCACAATATCGAACATGAAAGAAGACCTAGTAACACTCTGAAGCCCACCAGCACCCTTTCCAATCTCTCTGGATTGTCGAGATGGTTACACTACCTCAAACTGTGCTTGTTTGTGTGCGTGTACCTGTGTGTGTGTGTGTGTGTAGGCAGGTTCTTCCCAACTACATCCTATTGGAGCCTGGCACTTCTGGTTACTTTCAAATTTCATGGATAGAAAAATGGGGAGGGAACTCTGTAATTGGAAGCCGCGGTCAGAAATGGTCAAGGAGCACTCAGAGGAGTACTTTGAGGATCAGTAATTTGCTTAGAGAATGTCTGTTTTGAGAAACATGTTGCTTAGCAACTCATCAGCTAGAGAGTCAGCGCTTCCAGGCTTTTGTTCAAGCCCCGATGAGAAAACACCTGATGGTCAATAATTTAAACCCGATGGAGTAGATGAGTGCCAGGTCAGAACTATCTCCGCTATATACCACTGAGTGCCTTTCAAGTCACTGCTGAGCAAGTCTGTACTTTTTTGGGGAGAAAAGCTCTGAATAAGTTTAGTAAGACTTTACAAATTCACTGGATGGCAACTTTGTCTTTCTCCAAAGGATTTGTGCTGGAATGATAGTGCCGTCTTACCTCCCAAGCGCCCTCATAATTCTGCTTCTTAAGGCGCACGGCCCAGTTATCCAGGCATGCATCAAAGCAGTGGTCCATGCTGAGGATAACTGGCCGGCTCAGGACCACCCCCGGAGGGCCACAACTCACAATGGGGCTGAGGAGGGTCTGGCAGCCAGCCACGGGTAACCTACACCAGGGAGAGGAGCAAGAGAGAGCGATGGATGCTTTTCCTCATTGAGATATAAGTGAGAATTTATCGGTCTCTTGTAAGCAGGATATGATACTGTCACCTCTGCAAATTATCTAGCAGCTGTAACAGAGAATCATAAAAGCCTGCTGGACTCGCTGACTTGTCGCACCAAGCTGTGATGACTGAGTAATAACATGACACTACCGCGGCATGCTGCAGTGGCTGTGCCACGAGAGACTTAAGTGCAGCAAGCCAGATAAACAGTGTTTTCCCAAACAATTCATTTAACTTAAATAGTGCACATCCCGGTAAAAGGCTACGTTATTTATTTACATCCTTTCTCCACAGTACTGGCACAGACTGCTAAGCCGTTCGTAATGGAACAGTAGAGCATCAAAACAAACAGCCTAGTGGCAGGGAAGACTGCCAGTTAGACAGCGTTAAAGAGACCCACCTTAAATCTTCCTTCCTCTGAACAGTGAGATAAATCTCATAGATCTTTCCTCTGGGGATGGCCTCGGGAGGAATGAGCAGACTGATTCCTAATGCAAATAACAACAAAGGGAGAGAAGAGAGGAGGTGGGTAAGCAGGAGGGAGGGAGGGGGACAGGCTCATTTGTTCAGAGTGAACAACGCTTTTGTCATCTCACAAAGGAAGCCAGCCTACTCGACAAAACTGTAAGGCTGCAAAAACAAAAAACAAATCTATTCTGAAGGTCAGAGGCAGCCTCCTTCAGGTACAGTAGATGCAAATCTCTGCACCGGCAGCCGAGGCGGCACACGTCCCCACGGTCAACAATTAGCTGAGACAAAAGCGCACGCTGCATCGCAGTTTAAATGTCCTCCGTCTGCCACCAAGTAGATAATTGAGACCATGGAACAGACTACTCCAGGAAAATTGCACTTCCCCAGGAGAGTGTAGGAATGCACACTGGAGAATAGGCAGAGCTATTGAAATAGCTTGAGTGTTGTGGCATTTGAGCTGTGTTTCCGGTGCCAAAATCATCCACTTAGAATCCCATTTTAAATGTTGTACAAATAGAGACTATGTGACACAATCTCAACAATCTCTGCATGGTAAAACTGGGCCTCTATTCACCATAAAACATCTGTTTGAATAAGGCGAAGGTGCCTAAATGCTCACAGCCTTGTCTGAATCTATAAACCATGTCTTCCATGTGCCCACTCTGAAACTGTGCTAAATGACAGTATATCTGCTTTGAGTTGAAGCATAAAAGTGGTGAGATTTTTTTCCCCCCTCTGTGTCCCACTGAGAAGATGGGTGCCAATGCGTGGTATAGTCAACATGGCTTTGAGTTAATCCATGCATAAAACATCTTCAAGAGAGTGGAAGAGAGGCACACAGAGAGAGAGAGTGGTGGCAAGGAAACAGGAAGGAAAAAAAGGCCCTTTTCTTCCACAAGACGTACCAGCATCGGCTAATCTGGACAGCTTACAATGAGCCAAATGAAAACACTGTCTTCCAGTATAATTATATAAGCTCTAATCGGCTAATGTGAAGAGGGGAAGCAAAATAGGGACTTAATGATGACGCGGTGGACTTTTTATATCTTTTATAAGGCCGATCTTTGCCGTCTTTTTCCCCCTTCTGTCTGTTCTTTTAGCATAAAACTGACACTTATGGACATTGGCTACAACCCCCAACCAGCTCTGTCATTAGCCAAGGAAATAATTGGAATAATTTGTTATAGATTTTATTCCACATCTCTTTCGGGGCACGGCGTCTTCGGCACACACTCATTATATCTCATCTTGTCACTGCACTGAATGTTCTTTTTAGTTATTCATGCATTGCTGTGTAGATGTGGCTTGTTGACAAATATAAGCAGAATCGCTGTTTTTTTGTGTGATTTAATGTTGGATTTGTGACTTTTTCGGTGTCCCGTCTTATTTCCCTCATAACTGATGGAAACTAATTTGTATCCCATACAGAAATACAGCCTGTGCACTTCATGGCTGTCCTGGCATGAACCTATTAGGAAACATGGGTTTTTAAGGCTGAATAGTTTGGAGTGGGTTTCAACAAGACAGTAATGTTTATGGGACTGAGCCGTTATTGTTCAATTCTCCTTGCAAATGTCCAGTCACAGACACTAAAGCAGGTGTAATAAAACATATAAAGCCGACTCGCTCCCGCAGCATTTCCAAACACAGAGCAGATGTTAAATTGTTTAGATCATGTTTCTTTGTGAGCTTTAAGTATAGCTGTAAACAGAGGAACATCCTACAGAGGATTAAAGATGCCATTGCATGACACAAACTTACAATACCGTGTCTGGTGAAACAAGGCCCAAATAAAACAACTGTTTTTACAGTCCAAAGTTGTTGTTTTTTTATTCCACTTTTATGAATCACGTTTATAAGTTTGGGAGCAGTAAAGTGGAAATTGCTTTCAAGTTTGAGGTTTCACTTCTTATTACGAAGAAGCCAAGAGCTGTAAACAGAGAAACATACAGAGTGGTGGGTTAGCTGTTCTCTGTGCAGTGTTTGTGACTGTCATTCTGCATCAGCCGCTATATGGACCTCCAGGGCAAAATCAACTTCTCGAGACTGACAGATAGTCTGCTGCACCTTATGTCTGCAGCACAGTTGCCTGTTGTCACAAAGAGCTAACAAAGAAATAATGTATGGAGTGCTATTAGTTCAGCCAGCAACTGCATCTTTGGTAATAAATAATAATAGACAGATAGCGATAGCGTGAGCCTTCATCCATCCAAATGATGTTACCAAAGAGATGTAATAACACAGACTATAGAGAGGCAGCAACCACATCACGACGGGTTTCTGATCAGACCTTCTGATCATTTCCAACACCTGACATTTGATTTTAGGATAAATTCAAAACGTTAATTACTGTTAAAACTGAGCTATTGAAAAATAACAGTAGGTTTGTGAAGGTCCCGTCTCCCGTCATCCCCAACTGGTCACAGCAGATGGCTGCCATTATCTGAGCCTTCTTCTGTTGGACATTTCTTCCTGTTAAAAGGAAATCTTTCCTTCCCATTGTTGCTAAGTGCTTGCTCATAGGGTGATATTTTAATACTGGTGTTTTCTCTGTATTACTGTAGTGTCGTCACCTTACAGTATAAATTGCCTTGAGATGACTGCTGTTGTGATTTGGTGCTATATAAATAACACTGAACTGAGGTGAAGATCAATTTCTAGAGCAACCTTCAAATAAAATGCAAGCTGCATGTCTGTAGAACTTGCAGCTTGCATGCATTTTTTAATTCTTCAATGTTACTTTTTGCGCTCTTTTTTTTTCTTGTCATAACTTTCATTGATTTTGATGTAATTCCCCATTTTTTTTTGCACTTTTACACTTCAGGAATAAGAAAGTATCAAAGTTCTCAGGGTCCACCATTTGTGTCCTTTTAGCTCCTACTTTAGCCAAGTTCTCACAAGCACATAAAGGGAACCTTTGAGTGACTCAAATGTACATTTATTGGTCTATGCCTTATATGCCCCTCATGTGGTGAGTGGCACAGCAATTTGGAAATGTATACATAATATTTATATATCTATCTATCTATATAAATAAACCAGCATAGAAATTATAGTAGAACTTTGATGTTAGCTGTGTAAACAACAGATAGCTTTAAAAATGATACAAACAGGGAAAATGGTCCAGGCTTTAAGCCTCTATATGCAGCAGAGGAAATATAATGGAATTTTGACTCAGCAAAGCAAAATATAAAAAAATCTTCCCTAGCATTTCCTCTCAGCTACCTAGGGCATCCAAACAAACAGTGCAGCAATGTAGAGAGAAAATGCAGAGAGGCTGGAATAGGATTACAAGAAAGCAAAAGGCCACAACAACCAAAGCGGATCCAAATAGGCCTATTTCACAGCAGCTTTTTTCCATAAAATGTTGGCGAAACACACATACTAATGCCATTAACAGAGGTTCTGTTTTATTCAGGCACAAAGCCTTTATTAATGTGATTAGTAACACCTGTGTTTCCCTGCCATTTTATGTCAAATTGGCTGCAGTGTGGCTATGGTTTACTGAAAACCATTAGCCACAGACCTGAACGCGCTGGTAATGTGGGCACAAAGGATTTGTTAGTCAGGATAATACATCATGTTAGGTGGTTGGAAAGTAAACAGAAAAAGATCCCCTAACGGCACGAGGTTCTCAGGGGGACCACCCTAGTTAGCAGCAGAGCCTCAGGTGGGCAGAAAGCACCCAAAACTGTTTGGTAACCCCACACTACTTGCCCCGGGTAGTAAATACCTCCTCCTGATGTTAACCTTATTATTTCTTCTGAAAACACACATCAAGGCCCAGTAATGTACTGCACTGGTGTTATTTGGTCTCAGAAAAGGGAGCATTATGATGCAATATGACACCAACCAAAGCCTCCAATAAATGGCCAATAAATATGACTTTCTGTTTACAACAATAACAGACATGTAGCAACAGTGAGCTTTTTTGTTTACAGGTGATTACAATACGTGAACAAAAGCTTAAGTGGAAGTTTTTTGGGTTTTTTTAAGCCAAACCAATTGATCTGAACAGAGTGAGAGTCAGAATGAAACCTAAATAGACCTTAATGAAGAACCTACCTGTGTTGGGGATAGTCAGCCTGCCGCCTAGGAAGTTGAAGGTCCCATAGGAGGTGTTGGCCACATCGCGGGGCAGCGTTTTAAAGTAGCTCTGGGTGGAGAGCCTGCTTACAAACTCGGCAGCAGCGTCAGAATTGAGCTTGCCGTTGTGCAAGGTGTGCGAGCCGTTGGGAAGCGGGTCCAGCAGAGGCCCGTTGGTCATCGAAAACTTCCCGGTGGCATCGTGGCGAGAGCGCAGGGTGCCTTGATAACTGGTGGTGGTGGTGGTTAGATCAGGCTGGATGGTGAGTAAATGGGAGTTCTCTGTTTAGATGATAAAAAAAAGCAAAAACAGCAAAAGACAAAAGCAAACGTGTGAATCTCAAAGAGTGGTGGGAGGAAGGCTGGGGAGGGGAGTGGAGGAAAGGGGTCCCTACATCACAGAGACAGACCTCGCACTCTCTAAAGCTGTTGCGAGCAGCACAGAAAACTGAAACAAACACAGAAAAGAAGACACATGGCGCAGAAAACAAAAGCACTCGCACGCGCGCGCACACTCTCGACAATACACAAACACAAATTCCAGTCAATTCCCATCCTCTCTCTCTCTCGCTCTCTGTTTCTCTATCACTGTCTGTCTCTTTAGCAACCACACAATCAATTCCAAACAGAACTCAGATGCAGCTTAGCATCCAGAATATATAAAGGCTTTTTTTCCCCCTCTCACACTGAATCACAGACACAGCAACCCAGTCCCCCATCTCCATCCAACTCAGACAGTTGTATTTCTATTACTCGCTGTTAAACCTCTGAGGCTCCACACAGGCAGTAAACAGAGTGGGTACATTTCCTGACAATAAGGTGCTGGCGAAACATAATGTGTCAGGCAGGCAAATAAACAGCTCGTGCACCACACACACACGCAACATAATAAATCTCGCTTAGACCACAATCCACTGCAAACACATTCGCGCCACCTCCCCAACCACAAACAAACAGCACCGGTGGTACATGTAGATGAGTGCGGCACAGTCACTGTGGCGAAGACGGACAGACGAAAGCGGAACAAAGAACAGTGTCCTACTGCTGTGGGGGGGAGCCCTGCGTGACCGCGGCGCCCACACACCTGGCTTGCTGGGCTTGATGCCCATGGGCTGGAAGCCAGTGGTGAGGATGGAGGAGTCGGCCACGTCGGCATCCAGGCCTTCCTTCTTGCGCCTGTAGACCAGGACGACCACAATGAGCAGCAGGGTCAGACACAAGGCCACGGCCACCATGCCCACGTAGAGCGCCACATCCTCAGCTCCACTCACGGCTGCAAAAGGGAGGACAAAAAGAGGAAAGAAAGAAGAGGAGGAAAAATTACTAATCAAGACTGGAGGATGCCCTCTGGTGTTCAGTGTTAATGTCATTTTGAGCTGCTGCAACATGTTCTGTGCAAAGGTCTCACTCGAGGACCTGTTTAATGGCATGAAGCATTCCTTCGCTGCCACCTAATGTTGCTTGACGCCTTCATAAAAAGTTAAGGGAGCCAACATTATCAAATACTGCAGGCCAGAATTTCTAAAACTCTGAGGTCTCGATGTCAAGCTGTGGGAAAAAAGGCTAAACAGGAAAAAGCAGTTTCTGAAGCAGGTTTTCACTGTTTCACTGTCACATTTCTTCATTTCTGCACCGCATAAATATATCTTAGGCCAGCATGTTCTTTTACCTCTCTTTCTCTAAGCACACAACACCCCCAAGAGAAACAGAGAGGGGAAAAATGAAGCATTTGCTTATGAAATTCTAACTCCTCGTATTGACTGCCTGTCTCACAAAAGCACAGGAGTGTCTTTCTCCCAAAAGTACAGTATGAAGCTGACAGCCAAGCTGAGACAAACATCAATGTGTCTGCTCGTTTCTGTCTATGCACTCGTGTGTGTGTGTGTGTGTGTGTGTGTGTTTGTGTGCGAGTATGTGTTTTGCAGCAGAATGGGATTTGCCACGGCTGTCTCCCGGGGCTGGGGGAATTTGGTGGTGGAGGTGGAGGATGCTCCTGGGGCCTTTGTGGAGGGCCATTGTGCTGGTGAGCCACGGGGGCGTAGCGCTGTCAACTGAACACAGTCAAGGAGGGGACGCGCTGAACAGCGCAGCTTTGAGGGATGGAGAACAACAGCAAAGGTTAAAGCACTGCAGGCTGGCATGTGGTGAGTTGACAACAAAAGGAGGAGAACAGGAGCAGGGAGCGCGAGGGGAGCAAGTGTACAAGAAAGAAAACGCAGAATTAAAGAAGACTAAAGCGAAGACAGCGTGTGCCTGCGACTGACAGCATGTGGGATTTGCATTTCAGCAATGAGCAGCAGTAACACGTCCAAAAGGTTTGTGTCAAAATCAACTTGATTACCATTAGGTTTGTCATCTTTTGATAAATATCTCCAGGCTGTCACCACTGTGTAATCCTACTGCATGACAGGAGCCGCGCTCAACCTTAGAAACGCAGATTTGACAAGTTTTAATTGGTGTTTGTAAATCTGTGACACGAAAACGCCACAATTGAATTAGCGGAGCGCTAAAAGTTGACGAGAGAGAGAAAGGGAGAAAAAAATAAGCTCCCTTTCTGTCTGCAGCTCTCATTTCTATTCATCTCTTTACATCAATTTGTCCTTGCCTCTCCTTTTGCCTTGAAAAATCCATCTTTGGACAAAGCTGCCTGACATACCCAAGTGTTTAAGAGAAATGCCAGAATCTATTTCATGGGTGATTATCTCAGTACAATCTGATACTTTAAGTAGCGGATTATATGCAGCCAACCTCTATGGCAGCTCTTCGTAATGCCAGAGATCTCTTGACATGTAATCGATCGCGAATGACTGGCTGAAGATAAACACAAGACTGTGTGTTTTGTTCGTGATGCTACGTAGCACACCTGCACATAACACACCTAAAGCATGAGGACTCTTATCTGATGCATTCAACCTTCCTCCACCTCTCCTCTTGTCCATTTACCTGCCTTTGCCTCGCTCTCCTTAGAGAAGCACCGAGGTGCTTAACTGCAGGAAGCCTGGCTAAACTTTCCCTCCCTTTCACAATGAGCTCCAAAAAAAGAAAAAAGAAAGAAAGAACAAAAGGATGAGAGAGACTCTGGCTGAACTTCTCATTAGAGTTCCCAAATCCAATTGTCTTGGTGAGCCAAAGGCCAGATGATGCCGTGATATTTGAACTTCTTGTGCTGCAGTCCGCTGGGAGATGTGTAGTTTGACTAAAGACAAAGCAACACCCGTCAGTAAGGAGACGAGCCAGCTGGTTTCTGCTGATTGGATAAACATAGCCTTGGATTGGCCGGTTGCTGTTTACTTGCTAAGGGCACACCAAAGACAACTGGCTAACCTCAGATGCAAAGATCCAGTATCTCGACTCTTCCCTTTTCCCAGCATCCTCGCGCCCAGACAATAAAGCCAGCCAGTCAATCAAACAGCTCTTCCTTCTTTCTTTTCTCTCTATTCTGGCTGTAATCTCTAGTGGCTTATCGGAGCATCGCTGAGTGAAGTTTTATCTGACCCGCCAGGTGTCCTAGCGAAACGATCCCGATGCTCACAACAACCCTGACCAACAACTGCTCTCAGCTCCTCCTGGCCCCACTCATTGATTTTCATGATGCCAGCCAATAATTGAAAGGACATCCATCACAGTTTAATTGACATAGCTAATCAGGTTTTATAATTGGATGGGCTTTACTTTAGTCCCTCTCTAACATGCCCCCTCTCTCACACTCTCTCTTTCCAATCGCACTCCACTCCAATTTACCTCTCTTCCTCTCCGCCATCAGTCATTCCATCTTTCATTTCCACTCGACTTAATTGCTGGCAAAAACTTTTGATTCTCTTTGTGTGTGACCTCTCGTCATGAGTGACACCCGCCTGAGGATAATCTGTGGATGAGATGAGCTTTTTTCAGAGTTGACCTCAGGCCAATCTCTCTTTGCGCCCGTCTCCACGAGCTTTCGCTTCAGCTCCTCAGACTCGCTCCGGGGCTGGCTGGTAGGGGATCAGTTTCTGACTCGAGATGGGCCGGTATAATTCATCTCCTCTAAGGCGGTGTATCTGGCTCCTGTTGAAGTTTGGACTCTGGCTGTATTGACAGTCAGCACAATGACCGCACCTGATAGTCCTCCACTCTCTCTGCCTGCTTTTTTTCCCCCCCTCTCTCCTTCATTGATAAATAAGAGTTTTGGAGCCTTCTGCGCCTCTTCCCCGGGCATTTATCAGGACACCTGAGAATATATTTCATCCCATGGCCAATCCTAGTCACTCGCCCGAAGATGAATAACACAGGAGTTCTTAAGGTCAGGGAAATATGGCTACTAAAACTCTCAACGCGAACGTGACTATTACTATCTCCACAATACAGTCGTCCCATCCCTCAGCAGGCTCCGGTGAAATATGGCCCAAAATAAATGTCCGGCCATTTTTCACAAAGCACCGTGACCCCGCTCTGACAAACAAAGCGGTGACGGAAAATCTCAGCCTCCGCGCCGCCAAATTAGCTCTGAAATAAAAAAAATAAATACAAAAAAAACCAAAAAACAAGAACAGGCTGAAGATAAATTAACAGTTTGATGTGTTTTGCTCAATAATTTGTGACACATCCCAAAATGGGATGCTGCTGCAAATTAAGTTCATTACCTTCATTACACACATTAAGCCGAATAATTGTTTTTATGTTGTCCTAATTCCCTGCGCCTGAGAAAACGAGCACCATTATTTTTCCCCCACTATCCTTTCTCTGCCCTCTAACACCTGTCTCCCATTTTGGTTCTGCCATGCTGCCCGCATATTTATTATTCCCCCTGCGTAGATTTTGCATAGAGTATATGTTTGGGCTTCACTTGTTTGCTTTATGAAAATGATCCTTCCTGGGTCAGATTGCTTTTCCAGCTTTGTGTTGCACATTTATTCTCATGTACGCGACATCTAAAAACAATAACCTCATCGAACGCGTTTCATTTCTGGCTTAATGAGGGAGATTAGACGTGTCTGTGAGGTCCTCAGACGGACGACGGCTTTTGTTGCAGAGTGACTGTGGTTCACCGTGCAGTTGTTGTGTTAGATTGCGCTGGGAGAGCAGGGTGCCTTTTGTTTCAAGGAGGGGGAGTTTTCCATCTCAGCTAATAGCCTGCAGACATGGTTGAAGTATGGGAGTTGCTGACAAGCCAAAACCATCTTGCTATTTTGCTTATTATAATACTTCACACAGCAATTGTCTATGGAAACGCATCTGCTGGGAACAGATTGGGACAGGCATTCTTCAGAGGCCGGCGCTCCGCTCTGCTCTGTCAGTGTAAATACTGAGTGACTCTGTGTGTGCGTTTGCTCGACTGTGTGTGTGTGTGTGTGTGTGTGTGAAGAACAATGACTGGCATCTTTGTGTATATATCTTGCTTCTCTTGGGAGGAGCTGCTGACCTTTGATGATGGGCTGACTGAACTCCCTGGTTCACTGCACCAGCCAAACCCGGCTATCGGTGGACACTCGCACATACGTGCACTTGCTCGCGTTGCACTAACACATGCAGCACACAATGCAGCATTCGCATGCAATTCCAAACAATCCTCGCCAGCCAAGCATCGGTCTATTTGATCACATCAATCACGGCAAAATACATAATTCAGTTTATTAATTCAGTGGCCCATGTCAACTGAATCCCCATTAAAACCCAGTGTTTACCATGCAGATCAGCCAGAGAGCACACTATTTATAACATTTTCTCTATGAGACGCCACCCAGAGACTCATTGTGGGCAACATGCAGTATCTTTCTGTCTTTGATTTCTGTAGGAAGTGACAGAGCTCTCCCTTCATGTCCATCTGTTCTGCAGAGGACCCCGTGGTGTCACTTTTCCACTCAGCTGCCGTCTCCGGCCATATGAGCCTTGCCCTTTCTCATCCTGACAGTATGCACATGCCCTATTAATGACACGCAGGGGAGTGGCACCACAGTATAATCTGGCTTGAATTAAACAGAAAAGTGCACATGCATTCCCCTACGTTTTAATATACGCACAATATGAGATTAATCACAATTTTAAATGCACCAGTGTAATTGATAGGTTGTGTTGTAATCAGAGGAGAGATGCTTTTATTCCTGGTTTTATTAACAGGTCATAGAGCAACACGGCACCAATATGCAAGGTAGGAAAGAAGGTACATTACCCAATGATAATTAGAAATGATCATCTGAAAAGGTCACACAGGTGGGGATGAGCCAGCAGTGGGCTGCAGATTAATCTTTTGTCTGTACGAGTGTTTAATGAGATGGACACCTTTCCTTCACAAACCCTTTGTAAGATGAACTCAACATCTATGACAAAAAGGAGGCTTCAAGCGTTTGATCGGATAAAAGGAAGAGGAAGAGGATCCTTTTTTTCCCCCCCAAAATGGAAAATGTTTTTTAAAAGATCAAGTAAAAAGCCTTTCCCTCCTATCCCCATCTAGCATTTACTTGAGGGGCTAATTGATGCTAATGTTGTACACTTGTTCTCTTTGTATTGTTTGTGATCTACTTGTTATAGCTGATGAGGTTGTGAGACTGAACCCTGTTTAATATTTATCTTTGAATAAATTTTTCCACTTCAGCCTTGAGTGGCATGCTTCTTTTTTTTAAATTAACAGTGTATGATCTAGCAAAAGCGCTCAGATGCTGTTTTGAGTGCATTTATTGGTTTTTAAAATGTTCATTTGCTACTCATCAGCTCAGTTTTAACACACAAATACATAACAAAACAACCATCTACTGATCCTTGTGCCAGAAACTGGCTAAAAACATATCTAAAGTAGATGTTTTGCATTGTTTCACTGAGTTGAAGAGTGAGAGTTTAGCTTGTGGTGCGTGGGTGGTGGTGCACTCACTCTGTGGACACTGCTCGCTGGTACAGTTGAGAGACTGGAGATCAAGCCCCTGGCAGTCTTTGCCCCCTGTGCCAGGTGAGGGCTGGGTGCACTCTCTGCTCCTCCACATCGAACAGTCTGCGCCACACGCTGACCACTTGCTCCACTCGCTCCAGCCTCCGTCCACTAGAAAAAACAATATAAAAAATAAAAATGACAGTGGTGAAACACATGCACAGCAGCTAAAACTCAAACGAATTCTCTTCAAACAATTTATTTCAGCTCGCAGTGGTTAACTATTGATTGGAAAACATCAATAAACCGGGCCATAACTCCCCTTTTTTCAGCAACAACGTGAACTGGTGGAAACGGTGGCGCCAAACTATCTGGGTATTTGCGTGCGAGACGAGAACAAGTGGTTCAACACTGTTGCCATCCTGTGTAAACCTAAAATGGAAACCTGGTAATGAAAACCTTTTAAAGACATGCAAATCCACTTGCACACACTCAAATCCAGCAGCTGCACAGAGAAACCGAAGCGTGTAGAGCAGCTGAGGAGAGCCATATTGTCTCTATTCTGTTTTCTTTGTTTATTTTCAGTATGGAAATCAGATGCAACTAAGTTTAACCCCACTGGTGCAAGTGCGGCCTGGTAAACCAAGCTGCCAACAAACCAAGGGGAAAAAAAGTAACCTCCGAGCAAGCGGTCCATACATACGCAAGAATATAAGTTTCAGATTTCTCATACACCCAGCACAACATAATATAACATTTGAGAGAAGGAACCATCTCACCCTTGTTTGATTTCTTTGTCAAGATGCTAATATAGCGCCTGCGGTGTTGCCTGAAGTGCATCCGAATGCATGACAAAATACATGTGGTATTACTCTGAAAAGAAGAGAAAGTACATTACACCTGCAGCCTGACCATAACTTCAAACAGCCCACAATGAGCACAATGGAAATGGGCCTGTAATAGTTCGGAGCACGCTTGGCTGTAAGAAATATCAGCAGCTTTACCACATACAGAGAGGAAGGCCATTTTGCAAAGGTGGGGGTAATTTGGCATTGCGGCTGGTGCGGGCGGTGGCCGGGAGTAATATTGAGAGTGACACAGCGCCAGGTCTGGGGAAGGTTACTATAGGGCTAATGGGAAAAAGAGCAATAATGAGCTCTCATGGGGGAAAAAAAGGGAAAAAAACAGCACTGTCTCACTCTTTCTCTCTCTCCCAAATGTAAGGGTGAAGGGGACCAGACGAGAATTACCTGAACACACACACACGCAGTAAATGCACACCTCTATGACAGCAGCAACCCTTCCCCTGGCTGACCTAAGGGCAAGGAAACCTTAGTGCTCATTAATCCTAGCAATAAAGAGTGCAGGGGGCATGACCTGCAGAAAGCAGCTCTGACCCACTGCAGGTCATGAAGCTTTGGTTAATAAAACATAAGTGAGATGTTACGGAGGGCGAGGGTACCTGTTATTGCATAACTGTATCAACGAATGATTTTATTTGCTTCGCAAGCAAATCCCCAATTGGAGAAATGAGATAGAAAACCACCGCGAGCGCACAGGGTGAATTAAACCCTGCTCCCACACAAGTCTATGTGTCGGTCCGAGTGCGTGTCCGGAAATGACAACCAGAGAATGCGAGACTATTTTTGTGCAAGAGCATATGCGTGTGGTAGGATGCTGACACAGCTTGGGTCCTTTTTTTTTTGCAGTCAGATCCATTTGGCAGAGAGCGCAGAACCAATCAGATAATTGTCCTTGTTTGGCATTGAGTGGACCCATCCGTGGGCCAGTGGGCTGATTATCCAGGCTGGGAATGAGAATGATTGAATAGCGAATTACATCCTAATGAATATATTATGTCGCCCCTCAGTTTATCCACACCACGGTGAAATAAAGGGATGAGATCAACATCTGCCCTGATGAGGTGATGGAATTCTACTTCTCTTATCCCCACCACAAAAGCAAGACTAATCGCCATGCAAATGACATTTTCAAACAAGAGGATTGGCGTGGCAACAAAGTGAGAATGTGGATGAGACAGAAGCACTGCGGCCCAAGGCTAAGGCAAATCAAAGAAAAATGAAGATGCGTAAACAGTCCTTGATGGCCTGGCTCTGAACGCCGACTCTGCGCACGGCTCCTGTTTCAAGAAAGGCGAAAGATTTTCTCCTAGAACAATGCAACGAGAAACAACAACAAAGTCAAGATTTAACACTAAAATTAGAGCCACACCTCATACTTTGTTTCTTCTCAGAATCCACATAAGAAAATGGTTGTCCACAGAGACAGTTTTCCTTATCAAATCCCCAGAAAGAGATTGTTAGCACTCCTGCAAAAGGCACCGCAGCTGATTTTCAATCATCTGGCACCGCAGGTTTCAGGTCAGCCAGGTCGCCGAGGAGGGACAGTAATACAATAACCCAGTGGCAAGCGCCCGTTTGGACATGTTGCCAAGGGGAGAAGCAAAAGGAATCTAACCATTTTTTAAAGGTCAGTGGGAGGGCCTGTTTAAAGCTTCGCTGTTCAAAAATGACAATCGCCGCTGATGGACACAGTCCGAGATCATCAAGCACCCACGGTTTCTGTGTCCTTGAGGGAACCCGAGGAGGTAGACAACTATCACCGAGACCAGCGGGCCTCTGCTTCCACTGTCCTGTCAATACACATGTGTGTAAGCACCACTAATCCCAGTGCTCACAAGCTGATGGTGGCGGGCAAAAAACTACCACAAAACAGCCATGGATGGCTTTGATAGCCAGCCACAGAAGTGGGTGACGCAATGGAGATTAATCGCCCGCCAGGAGCCCGTATTTCTGATAAACGTAATAAAAATGAAATCTTAACATTTGATGTTTCTTGCTTGCTTATTTAGGAGTAGTGTGCAATCAATAACTGAGAAAAGCAACATTTACCCCCGATTTTGACAAAACCACCAAAAACTGACGAAAAAGCGACAGAGTGAGATATGAAGAGGGTACGCCGAAGAACACAAAGAAACCAAACGGCACCAAGTGATTAAAAATGATGCAAGGCTGTCACCAGATGGCCACCATCTTTTCACACTGAAATAATGTGTTTTTCTGCCACATTTATTTTCCGTTGCCTTTATTTATTCCGCGGATAAAATATGGAGTCGCCTCAACAATCAATGATAAAACATGAAGAAAAACACGACTGTTTACTCCCGGAGTAGAATTAGACTTTTGCCTGCAGTGCAGACAGCAGACATACGGGCGCTAACTCGGATGTCTACGACGCGTACGTGCACGGAAATGCGCACGGATACGCCAGCCCCCGAGTCTGTTTATTTTCCATCTCGCTCAATTCTCACGACTCCTGTGGCAAGCCTGAGGGATCCGTGCTATATTTAAATAATTCACAGGAGTTCGAAATCTCTTCAGGTTGTTTGGTGTTCAAACGCAAATCAAGCAACAGTTTAGTTCATTCGTGCGGGGTGGGCATCACTGAATCGCTTCCAAAACCGGGGACTTAACTATTTGCTGTTGGCTCAGGTTTAATGTTTGTCTTTGCTGGAAATGTTGGCGTGATCTGACATTTTGCCATGACTATTGGCTCTGACCACAAGTCAGCGCAGGGCAGTCGATGAGAGGGAGACGGATGGACTGCAGAATTATGTGGGATACTTCTGCAGGGATATGCTGGGATGGAGACAAAGGAAATGAAGGAGGCAGCGAGAGGAAAGCGAAATGGAGATAAGCCTTTGCATAGCTTGGCTACTCGCTGTCTCAAGTGTTGATATGCTCTGCTCTGAGCCTCAGGCTTTAGCCTCAGCCGCCGCCTCCTCCTCCACAGCTCCCTGTGTCTCTCCCAGCATGGAGCCCATCTGATCTGCCACACAGGCCTCCGCCAACTCTCATTAAACACTTTGGAGACTTAGACAAAAATACAGATGAGCCTCTCAAGCTTCACACTTTCCTGACGAGAGGTGGGAGCTCGGATACAAGAGTCATTGTGAACAGATACGTGGAGGGTTTTATTACTGAAGAGGCCGTCTGTGTCGGTCCGCGGAGGTCCATATAATCCATGGGTGAAATATGCCTCAGCGACTATACTCTGAAGGAGTCATGCTACTTTTTGAATGTGGAACAATACATGGCCATCAGCATTTCACCAATAAATACATAAAGGCTCGGCTGGAGGATGCAGAGACAAATTAAAGCCTTCGCATGCCGTCGGTTCCAAATTAAAACTGATTTGTTTCCAGCCAATATTCATGCGGCTCTTATCCCTAAAGGACGAGTTAAGCAAACGTAAGAAGCCATCTCTGCACTTCATAATAGGCTTTCACAGTATAAGCACCTAAAAACTCAATATATTTTTTCTATAAACCATTTCAAAGACCTAACGCTGAGAGCTAAATGCACTAGAGAGAACTAATGATGAAAAAACCCCCAACTTTGTCTAGATAATTAATGAACTCTTGAAACAAGACCAGCATTAAATCATGAAAATTTTAAGTCATAGCTCAAAAACAAAGCCGGCGTAGTAAAAAAACGTTGCCTTTTAAGGCCGAAAAAAAAAATCCCACTACTTCTGACTCCAAATGTCAGCTACGTCTAAATAAGTAACATCATGTGTCACAGCTTCCCATGTAATTCATTTTTCTCAAGTTGCCTTCTCCTAAAATGAACTGAGCTATAAGCACGGGGATGAATAAAGTTCTCATCTGGTAACAAGTGATGCATCTGCCAGGCTGCTCTGTCCTGTCGCCCCTTCCTGAGGCAGGTGTGTTAATCATGCTCTTTATTAATTAAAGAGAGGTATACACACAAACGCGTACATAGGGGCAGTGAATCTGTTTGTGTGTGCGTGCTGGGTGGCAAAAGCGACAGGAGCTGTCTGTCGGTTCACCTTCGACTAACTTCAAAGGCACGTCTGTGAGTACACAAGAGTGTCGGTGCCACTTGTGATGGGAAACAACAGCTCATCATCCCCCAAGCTTTGCTGCGGTGGACTTCTTGGCCTTGAGTGGGGGGAGAGAGTGAAGGGGGAACCCCTCTCCCCAGCAGACAGCTGGGGGCTTCACTGATGTTCCCCACGGCAGACAGGTAACGAGTGACAAAAGGGGGCAGAGACGAGCATCTGTTGCCAAACAACAGGGCTGATAGGGGTGCGAGCGGGGTCGCGGTGCTCGAATGTCTCCCATCAAAAGGAGAAAAAATTGAGTTCTTTCTCCCTCAAAATCTGTCTTCACAGAGTACAATGTAATTTTTGTCACAGCACTCCCAATAGTTAAAATGAAACACTTTCTCTTTGTGGAACAAGAGGAAGATGGGAGGGAGGGAGGAAGGGGGTGGGTGGGTTGGCCTAACAATAGCAGCTTGGACTGACATTAATTTCTTTAAGCTCATGAAGGTCAGTATCCCGCTTTGCTATAGAGGAATGTCAAGCATCCCTGGGCACCCCTCTAATTCAATTACTGGTTGCTCCAACTCCAGTAATTCCAAATCCACCCAGGTCCTCACTCTGACTATGAATCCCTGCTTCCCTTTTGTCTTCCTCCCGCCGTATTCAGGCAGGCCATGTTACTTACAGTCGTGCTTGACATCTAGTGATGTCTTTACATGCTAGATGTGTAAGACAACACCCTGATTCACTGAGGAAGATAACCTCTGTTTTAGACAGGGAAAAGCTGCCAGTGCCAGGGGTGTTGTATTTCCCTCCCTGCTATTTACTGCGCGTGGGAGATTTCTCCTGTGGTCAGCATGGCTGCTGTGCCCCAGCTATAGGTCCGCACACTGATCTGTTGGCAGACAAACAGCCAGCTCCTGCGCACACAGTCAGGCTTTCTCTACTTCTTTTTCAGCTTTCCCCATTCTCTCTCTCTCACTCCGGGCTTTGTTCTTGCCTTCCTTACACTGTATCTGATTCCACCTGTCTCTATCCCTGCCTACACCTTACACCTCGTTTTTTTTTTTTTCCCAAGCTTGCTCTCTCCCTCGCTATCTCTCCCTTTGTCAGGAGCCTAATGTGGAACTGCAAATGAAGCAGCTTGACTTCCATCTCAGGCTACCAGGGATCAATATGTGTTGCTCACTATCAGGCAGGACACTCTCTGCCTCTCCGATGCTCTCACGAGGGAGGATGGGCAAGCAAATGAAACGCCCTCAACTCCTCGCACGCAAACATCGCACAAAGGCCGACATAATTCAGCTTTTTAGTGCCCGTATTTACTACATAATTTGAGCAGCAAACAATGGTGACAAAATAACGTGGCTGTAACCGTGTCTCCTTAAGCAGACGGGTCTCTGAAAGAAAAGCGGTGTCTGCATACAGTGCAAAAGATAAAGAGGTATGTGAACAAAGTGCGATAATAATAAATCACTTTTAGCATGAAGCCTTACTGTGCAGACTAATAGGCTCTGACGTTGCGGTGTAAGCGGTCTAACTGCAGGAAGCAATAAAGCCTGACATCTAAGAAAAAAAAAATAGACTGTTAGTGTTGGTACAAAAAAAAGCAGCCAAAATAAAGATGAAGTGATGACTTCTAGATGCAAAAAAATGCAAAAAGGAAGCCACAGGAAGCCAAGCGCCACAGGACAAACAGGGTTGCCTGGGAGTTACCTGGACAGGTGGCCACACAGGCACTTTTCTGGACGTTCTGCCCCTCACAGGATGTGCCTCCATTCAGTGGCGTGGGGTTGGTGCAGCTCCGACTCCTCTTCTGCCAGCCACGCCCACACACGGCACTGCAGGACGACCAGGTGGTCCACGTGGACCAGCCACCGTTGACTGTCAGACCAGTGCCAAGGGAGGAGGGGGGGATATGGAGGGGTGAGGTAAAGGGGGAGGAAGGTTGTGAGGGAGGGAGGGATGGATGAATGAAGGGACAGAGCAGCCAGGATTACCCGACATGCACTAAGGAAAAATAGGCGTGCTGCACTAGAATAATCAAGACTGCTGTTACACTCTTTGCAAAGTGAACAAACGGAAGCGCGAGAGCAAAAGGGTCGCTTCCTGTGTCTGAGCTGGAGTTACACGAACTGCAGTGGAAACAAAATGGCTTCAACAGGGAGCAGAAAAATCTGACGGCGCTTTCCCGGTTTCCCCTCTGAGGAAGGCACAGCTGCTGCGAAGTAACTCACGGGCACGTTACATATCAGAGTCTCCCCCCTGAATTTCACAGAGATAATACGAGGATATAATAACATAATTGTAAAGCCATTCAATTTAAAACCACACTGTCACAGTCATACATGCGTAAAAGCAACAAAACCAACAACAACGTCTACTCCTGGGAACTGCAAACACACTGCTGAGATATAAATGCATCACGGTTGTTCCGCAAATTCGGACTCCGTCCTTCACACGTCCGCCACTGATTTCACACCACAACATATCATTCAACGAAATCAAGTAGGCTTATCTTTGAATTGGAGAGACCACCACTGTATAATTCATTCCTCTTTTGTTATTTTTTTAAGATGTGAAACTCAAAAAACTCTGAATTTCTGTTATTACGGCCACTTGTCGGAGCAAACTTTAACCATCCATTGCCACTTAATTGGTACTATGTCTCTCAATCATGCCAGGCGATTACATCAAATCATCCTGTATCTACCGTGTTTCCTCAGACATTCCTGATTTATTGACTTGAACAGCACTGTCGTTCTCTCTCTGTACATACTCCCTTCCTAATTTCCCCCTAACACTCTCCTCTGCTCGTCGTGGCTGAATCATTTCCTTGCCCTCTCTTTGCGATTGATTGCCCGCCACGGCGAGGTAAATTGCCAGGCAACTCGGCCCCTGATTACCTCTTAGAACAGAGTGCAGTCACACCAGCCAGGCCTTGTTAAAATGCATCTCTGGCCCCCTGTTGAACCCCCTTTGAAAAGTAGCAGTTATTATGACTTGCTACATATAGCTAGATTAACTAGCACAGTAGACTGTGGTACCTTCAGCCAACTGATTTTTTTCTCTTGAACTCAGAGCAACTCAAGTGAAAAGCAGCTAGAGTTTCTTTTTGTTTAGCTAAAAACCCTCTATGATCCTAAACCAGTGCTGCAACAGTAATAAACGACATCAAGCAAACAGTGTGATGGAAACAAATAAAATTGCACATGCAAGCAACTCAGCAATTTGCTCCCAACTTTCTGGGTCTTTGAGTGGAAATCATTGTTTGACAACACAAGAAAGGCAAACAAAAGAAAGAGTGCGTATGGTCGTGCCTTCACAGTTAATTCATCCCTAGATTGCTTCTTTACATCTTTTAACAACAAGCTAATCAATTAGGAATAATTGTGCTTCTTTAGTTTTATGCTGGAGGCTTAGAGGAATGTATGAAAATGTGTTCTGACTGCATGCTCCAAATTAACACATTTTTTGTGTGAAAATGCACGACTCAATTTGCAGCTGCATTTAAAGCCGTAACGCTCGGACCCCCTTTGGGTTTGTTGAATTACAAAAAAGAAGAGAGAATTAACCTAATAAAACGAAAGCTTTTTGACAAAGATCTGAAACACACTTGGCTCACTTACTGTTTATTATGCTTTTATTGTTAAATATTGATTTGATGATTATGTTCATTAACTAAAATCATGCAAACACTTTTTCTCTCACTCGAATTCACCTAAATTGATGCACAAAGACTCTAAAACCACATTCAGATCATGTTTTCTTAATGGGATTTCATCCTAAAAGCCAAAATTCAATGAGGATTTATACAGACGGGCATCTTCCGCATCTTTTTAAAGTCCTCATAGTTTTCTGTTGAGACAAATGTTATTTTTCCACAGTAAGAAAGATGTATTTTTCCACCATACAGCAATTTTACATTATACAACTATTCATCTTAACATAATTTCATGATAAGATATAAAGTCATATGAAAAGATACATATTCAAAGGACTCCATGAATTCCTGTGAAAAACTAAGTACACCCAATGATTCAGTCGCTGAAACATCTTTAGCAGCAATAACTTTACATAATTGTTTTCTGTATGACTTCATCAGTCTTGCCTACATGTTATAGACTTGCAGCTCTCCTCTGGATCATTGTCCCGTGCCATGATCTAATTCAGGCCAAGCTTTAGCTGTCAGACAGATGGCCTGTATATATTATTTTGGTATAAAGAGAAGTTCCTGGTTGACTCATTGACTGCACGGGTTTCAGGTCCTGTGGCTGTAAAGCAAGTCCAAAACATTACCCCTCCACCACCATGCTCAACAGCTGGTAGGAGGTATTTGTGCTGATAACCTGTGTTTGCTTTTCACCATATGTGGTGTTGTGCATTATGACCAAACATCTTTGATCTAAAGAACATTGTTGCAGAGGTCTTGTGGTTTCGTTGTGCTGCCATACTCTTTTTCACTTTTATGACCCTTTTTCCCAGTCTTTCTTTAATTATACTGACTGCAGAATCTGATATATAGCTCTTGAATTTAAAAAAAAGAAGTTTTTCTCTCTTCTCATTACACAATCTGACCTTGGGCTGAATTTATTGGGACGTCCACTCCCAGGAAGACTCTGTGTTAACACACCTGTATGTTCTAGACCAGCAAACTGTCAGAGGTTCTGCTTTTATTGAGGCGCTCACACTTGCTGATGGTCCTTTAATTAAGTGCATTTGATTAGCAGCACCTGGCTGCTAATTACCCTATAACAGCATTAAGGGTGTACTTAGTTTTTCCACAGGACCGAATAGAGTCCTCATTTTGCATTATTATGAGCCAGTGGATTATGTTTAGCGATCACTATTGCCATCATCGTCTATCTTTCACTACTTAATTTATGAGTATTTATCTATTTACCGCCTTTTATTTTTAATATCGCTTTATTTGAACTGCAACGGCACCTCTCATGGAGCTGTTACCATGTTTGGCACATTTCACTTTTTGGTTGAATGGTCAAACAGCAAATTCAAAGGCTTTAAAAACCCCACCGCACATCCCAAGTTGCCCATTCTGTGGAATTTATTTGTAAACCTAATCTATATAACTTCCTATTACAATATTACACAGGTATCAAAAAACAAGAAAGATTTAAATATAGAAAATGAACAGGTAGTGCCTCTTATTTGTGACATGCACTGTGTTTTCTGAGCTGATGTGTCAGATAATAAACAAGACCTGCTGCTCTGCCCCTACAGTGCATCACAGTATCATCTTTCTCTGGCAGCCTTAACTGAAAAAAAAAAACAAAAAACACACCCCGTGTCAGGCATTGTGTCACATTATCCATTTATTATTCTCAATGTTGTTTTCATCAATCGTTCCCTCATGATTTCCATCTTCTGTTCGCGTGGAGCTGAGAATTACGCCAGGCTGTAATGTATTCAAAACTTTTGTAGTGCCAGTAGCCGTGGAACCCTCTGTGATAGTAAATATGCTGTTTCTCTGCATTTTAATAAAGGCCAGTCTGCTTATCAAGCCAAGTCATTATTTACAGTTTGCTGTTAATTCAATTTCTCTTCTCATACTGGATCCACTACAGAGGAGGAGGAAGATGGCAGCCTCGACATCAGAGACTGCCAGCTTTGGCAGAATAGCTGCCAGTAACATTTTAAGTTGTGGTAATTAATGTGCAGATACACCACTCTCTCTTTATGTAGTGATTTATGAAAGAGTAATTCTTGCGCTGCTGAAAAACAGAGCTGACGTATGCAATTTGTCACCATATGTCAAATATGTGAAACACAGTGTAATAATAAAAAACTACACTGTAAACTCTGAATGTAACAGTATGAAGAGCTGACGGGAGACTTGCGCCCACACATCTTCCGTGCAGCAGCATGCAAAGGTTAATGTGGGACAAGGGAAGCGGCGTGCAAGCTTAAAAGGATTCATCCGAGCCGTTTTCTGCGTTTGTATATTTGGAAGCTCAATCGAGCCCGGACCCCGGCACTAGTCTCTGTGCACAGTTTTGACATCTGCTGAAAGAAGTCGTCACCTACCATAGACAAGGATTGCGGCAGAGGTGCTTTTGCGGCGAGCGACGATGTTTTTGGCCACGCACGTGTAGTTGCCGGTGTCGGCCAGCCGGGCTTTTTTGATGACGAGATTATGGTCGGGCGTGATGACAAAATTGGGGTCACTCGCTGGGTCGATCACATCCTCGTTTCTCTGCCACTCCACCTGAAAACAGATTTCAGCGGTCAAAATTCACTGCAACTCGACAGACAGCAGCTCGCCACCACCCCATACAGCTCAAGACAGTGGCCAGACATGATGTGGATGAGAGACTTCTATGTCAATGAGTGTATGTGTGTAGAGGGGAAGCAGCGAGGTACTTCTTTTCTGATGCAATCGCACAGACAAAAGATGACCAGACGCGGCCTGGTGTGGTACTGAGATACAATTTATTTAACGCCCTGCTGATTTGAATATTTATTCGCTTCTTGTGGGGGAAGATTGCAGCTTTTATTTTGTAGCTGCTGGACGTCTCTGTAGCTGTCCGCGAACACGACTGATCGTGCTTTGTGTAAGTTTCCGGGCCCTCTTGCAAGAAGCCAAAACTGATGTTATTTCTTTTTTGGTGTTCTCTCAGATTGGCTTTCTTGTTTTCTTGCTCTCACTTGACCTTGTTCTGTCTCGAGAGGAGCAACAGTGCGGCAGCATTGTTGTTGGTATTACTGCCAGTTGTGATACCGCATATAATTGGGCCTTCTTCCTCTGGTGCACCATCCCCGTTTCCCCCCCGTCGTGACTTCTACTCTGATGTTCTTTTCTGTTGAACTGCGGCTGGCACCTTCCTTCCTATTTCTCTGCAAACTGTCCCTACGCTGTCGATCTGCGATTGGCTAGTCTGCGGTTTCTGGTCTCTGGGCTGTCTGAGCGGCTGGCCTGAGCTCCTCTTGTGCTGTTATTAGAGCAGTTAGTGCCTATCTGGGACCGGGAGGATGCAGCGAATGAGGTGAAACAGCTGGCCCCGGTCTGGTCCTCTAAACACACGCACGGCACGGTGAAACAGAGAGAGAGAGCGAGCGAGTGTGACTTGAGCAGAACAAGAGATACAGTGCATGGAGAGGTGAGAGAGATACACCGAATGAGATAAGGAAAGAGTGAGGCAAATAGATCCATTAATTATGCATAGGCCTTTAGAGATGCCAAATGGGGAGTGAAGCCTCCAAGCCAATGCTGAGTGATGTGACGAGATGACGTGATATACAGCTTCCCAGAGATGTAAGAGAGATAATAAATCAATAAGGGCAAATAATTAGAGGTGTAATTTATCCGAACAGGGTTGTCTGTTCCCCTGGTGGAATATGCCAGGGAGCTGATCTTGAGCTACTCTGCGGTCTTTGTCCCCTCGGTGAGGAAAGGGTAAATGGATGGCAGATTCTGGCCTATAAATATCTCCCCTATCTGTGTCTCACCTCGGCTTGTGGCACTCCCTCGGGGGGATGGCAGCGCAGCAACACCTCCTGGTCCAATGCCACCTCTTTACCCTGCGGCTCCTCCTCAAAGTTCTTTCTCAGGTCTTACAGGAAAAAAAAGAAGAAAAAAAAAAGTAGAGAAACAACCAATTAGGATGTGAAAGCTTGCAAAGATTTGAAAGAAGCACTTCTCTCTGCAAATAACTTGGCCTGGTGATGTGTCTAAATTTGCAGCTCTTGAAATGTCCGCCAGTGGCCTCGCCGAGCATGTTGCACTCTAGTTGGCCCCTAAGCCACACTGGGATCGGTGGCACCAACCATGTTGCTTATTACAGGCTGCCTGGCTGGTTCAGAGATGCTTGTCTGCTGCCAGAGGGGCCCGGCATCAAGCAAAAGCAATTGCATTACCCCTCACTCCCACCCACTCTCCTCTCCCCGGCATCCGCCAGCCTCCAGCTTCCATCTGTATGACGGCTTGGAGCAGCCACACGAAAACAAAGCCCTGAGGCGCCTGGACAAGAGCTCCTGCAAGCCTGGATGACTGCATGGGGCTTCACATTACGTCTCATTGAATACTTACTGTTGCACAAAGTCCTAGTATATATTTGTCTGTAAGCCCCAGCTGTGAATTACACAGGTAAAAACTGGGAACAGCCATTTCTTGCGGGGGAAATAAATGTAGATCCATTTGTATCAGATGAGCCAGACAGGCCGCCGATAGCTGGCGGGACTGGCACAAATTTGATGTGCTCACCCCGGGTTTCAACTCGGAGCGAAGCAATGTGTTCTTGTGTTGTAAGAGGCTGAGGGTGCAGCTGTGAGAATTCCTTTAAACAGATGTTGAGCCTGTCCCGACCAATCACACTGAGAGAAAACATTAAGAGAGGCAGGGAGAAACTGACGACATTCGATTTAATTAAAGCTGATAAATTTGGACTGGAGGAGACTTGAGATGTAATGTTGTTGGAAGGCTCGAACCTACGCGAGCAAACAGGCGCGTGCGTGGGAACCTCGCCGATGCGATCGCCTGGTTATGCATCGTTATTCAAGCATGTGCGTGTCCTTATCTTACATCTAACTGACTTTGCTGAGCTCTCACACACGGATGGATAATGAATGTGTGTTTTCAAAACGTCTGGTGGTTTGGAGACGGTGCCGTGTTTGGCTCTGTCTGGAATAATACATATTTATGTGGGAATTAATAGGCTGAATGTTTTAAAATACTCAAATGTAAAATGGCTTCTTCTAATAAAGCTTTTGAGGCTGCGGCGAGGGATGTGTCTGCGTTCCCCAGACAGATTTATGATTGCTGCACAGCAATAAATTTCAAATCTGTTTTTATTTCAGTTACTTTCATAGGGATCATTTCTGATATACTGTATCCAGCAGAAAATATGCTCATGAATACTCAAATTTAGAGCTTCACCCTTTTCTTTTTTAAGACCTTCCTCGAGCAGATACATTATTCTGGGGTTCTTCCTGCCAGGGTTGGCTGTTTTCTTCTCACAAGTATCATCACAGGAAGATGATTTAACTAAACTGTAATCACAGTAGTGCACTGTGGTGCAACAGATCATAATGTTCTCTGGGCTAATTGTTAAATGAAAGTTAGTCTCCCCCTCCCAACCACCCAAGGTGAAAACACAATATTCTCTTATTACATGCCGACATACAATACACAAGCACCTTGTTAGGCAGCAGACTTTGGATTTGTAATGATGCAGTGCTCATTTGACAGTGCACTCACAAGCAATCCTGATGTATGCTTTCTGGCTCTTCTGGGTTCCGGTGGTGCTCCAGGCGACGCACTGACACCAGTACTCATCAAGTCCGAAGATCTTCTCCACCTGCTGCCTGGTTATTTCGATTGTCACCTGCATGACTGGCAGCGCTGGAGAGCAAAAACCCAGAAGAGTCAAAATGTTAGACGCGGGACAAGCCCGGCTTTGACAGCAGCAACGAGCTAAGAGGCCAGAAATACTTCTCAAAGGAAAAAAATTTAAAAAGAACAAAAACAAATGAGCTGAACTGATACCTTAAGTGCATTTTGTACCTTGAACTAAACCAGCAAAGTAATTTAGAAAAAGGAGAGGAAGAATAAACAAGCAGAGAACTATAATCATATATAAACAGAGTGCTTGTTAGCTGCGGAAAATGAGAAGAGAGCCTCACAGCTATCCTTGGTGTAATTTGGAGGGCATGAATACAGCAACAGTTAGGAAGGAACAAGGAAGTGCTAAACAAGCACTCGACAAACAAAAATACTCAACATAACCCACGTCTCTATTATTAAATCCAGGAGGAGGGACGAGTTCAGCATTTCCCCGCAACCGTGTTGATATAAGTGACGCCGCTGGAACACGGGGCAAAAGTGGCTTTATTGCTTTTCTAGAGGAATGTAAACAGAAGCCTTCTTTAAACAAAGAAAAATTGGGACAAAATCCAACCCGCTAAACCGTCCAAACAACACAGCGTTGTTAGAGTCGTATCTTTTCTTTTTTTTTATATTTGAGAAGCAATCTTTCATTTCATTTTCTTTTGACCTTCTACTTGGGACTTGTAATCCATGGGTATTTCTTATATATTGAGCTGCGACCTTGATCCCTACCATGTGCCTTACTTTGTCTTCGCCCTGATAAAGAGACTGCCGTGTTTTCCTTGAGCTTCCAGCTTTCTCCCTCCCACCCCATCTTATCTGTTCTCTTTGTTGTCTTTTGGAGAGAGGCGTTCATACGAACACATTTTAGAGTCGCAGAGGACACATCCTGGAGACTAACAGGAGCCGCATACAAAGTGCACTATATTCAGATTTCAATGGAAAGCCACTTTCTAACTTCCATTCACACAAAAGCACTCTGACATACTCTTGATTTGTCGGTGACAATCATTTCCAGCTCCAGACTGAACCCGACTGAAGTGAGGAGTGCTCCATTACGCCATCACGACTTCACAGCAAAGAGTATCCGAGCAAACCAGCAAAGCATAAATTGGGATTATTTTTTTGCTAAATAATTTGAGGCGTACTGCACATGACTCTGCACGAGCCCAGGCTGGCCCGATGATGACACGAGCTGTCGGCGAGAGGAGGAGGACGGGCTCCACCGCCGGAGGCCACACAGAGTGATAAGTAGCTGTGAGGGTCACTGGCAGACCGCCATGTATTAGTGTCTAAATGCGGCAGATTTTTTGCTATATGTGATCACAGTAAATGTGAGTCCATGTGCAGTGAATCCAGCCCCGAAGCACCACTCCGAGCATCAACAACACCTCGTGCTGTGTGCAACATTTCACCAACATGCTCGCTCGCAGTTAATTTAAAAAGTAGAGTAAGTGATCCTCTTATGTTTACACTGCCTTTTTACAAAGCCTGCCAGAGACTGTCAAAAAAAGTTAGACTCAATTCCAACACGAGACTGGATTGAGAAATCCTCGTTTATTCTTTCTCGTGCTCTTTCTGAAGGTCCACTACCTCTATTAAGTATGTGTGTTTGTTCTCCGTGTGTGCAGCAAGAGTGTTCGGCGCAGGCTGAGAGAGCACCTAAAAGCTAAAGAAATGGCTAAAGTAACAAAATGGGCACTGCAGAGCATGAACAAATGGAGCATAAGAAACCCTCCTTCGTTCTGCAAATAAGCGGCATGGGGAAATTTACTTTTGCAGTAATGTGCAAATTCTATCTTGTATGCCAGAAAGCGCTTTGAGAGGGAGAAGTTGCACATTTTATTTTTGCTGGTGTACACAGCAAGTGTGTACTTGTTCTTTTGTGCATGTAAGTAATAAAATCTTTGAAACGCACATTATATATGGGTGAGTACCTGCTGCAGAGCAAAAACTGGGGGAAAAAAATTTAATGTAAAGCATGCACTAAAACCTGAACATTAAACGAACGTTTATTTTGAGGAATCTGTACAGAAACATCTGATCGTCCTGACCTACACTGAGCTCACAGCAAGCAGTTTATGCGCGCAAGCTAGAAAAATATATTTAAATACATGAATTTGAAATTTGGTATAAAGTGATATTCAGTGCTCGGTATGGCTCAAATTACAGTAGCAATTCGTTTGATTAATGCAAACCTTCCTCCTTCTTTGAGCTAGGGGGTGAAAGGAATAAAGATCAGTATGGAGATGCAAAGCATGAACAATAGCAACCTGAGGTGAGAAATCCTAAGAAGAGCAATTTGAAGCTCTGCTTGCCAGGGTAATTGCATTCTGTTTCCTTATCTTTTCCTGTCTCCATAATTACCTGCTTTCTGTGTCTGACACCTTCCAGTAACACTGCTGTGAGTCACTCTGTCCAATTTCACTCCAATTAATAAGTAGGACAAAATAATCTCATCACTTTGAGGACAAAACGCGTCTGTAATTTTACAGCAGTTTATAACGATCGGACAGGCAGCTATTTATTGTTGTTTTCCCCAAAGTCTGCTCGATCAACACAGCTATGAGTAAAACAAAACTTTATGAAAATGACTCAGAGACGACTGACGGAGAAACTACATTATTGATTCCTAGAAAGCCGTCCTTCTGAAAGTGGAGCACCGCCACATTTATGACTCAATTATATTAATATTGATTTATAATAGTATGCTCGCCGCCTTCAAGGTGTTAGGAACGGAAAAGAGGAAATTTACACTTCCCAGCCTGAAAGTGTGCACTTAACATTCCTGTTAAATGATAATTAAAACATGGCACGATTCCTGCAGCCTTTGGTTTGATCTGCAGCCCATTTTCTAAATGAGCTCACATCCCAAACCTCAGTGAAATGAGTGAGAAAAATTTAAAGGGTGATTATGTGATTGACACAGTGTGAATCCAGTGCTGGATCCTTTCTACATTTTTGTAGAGCAGTGGGATAACTTACTAGGCCACATTTGAATACAATTTCTGGAAAGTACACTTCACTATTGTAACACTGCATGGGAATAAATTGGACTGGGAAAAACAGAAAAATAAAACATGAACACAAATGCCACCGGCAGTGGAGTCCTCTCCTGTGGTAATTAATATCACTTTTCACACCAACTACCCGCCTGACAAGCTTTAAAGCTGCAGAAACAAAGAAAAAGCATATGCACTCACAGGGCACATCATTAGGTGTACCTGTTCAAATGCTTGTTATCAGCCAATCACATGGCAGCAACTCATTGCATTTAGGAATCTACTGGGATTTTCCCTGCAAAGATTTAGAGAAATGATATCTTATTGGTTGGAGGAGAACGGCCACACAAGGTTATAAGAAGCTAACAGTAACTAAGGCAACCACTTGTTACAAACCAAATCATGCAGAAGAGAATATGAATCCACACCATGTTGAACCTTGAAGCAGATGGGCTACAGCAGCTGAAGACCACACTGGGGTCCACTCCTGTTAGCTAAGAACAGGAAACCGAGTCACACCGGATCAACAAAACTGGAAAAGCACTGTGTGATCCGATGAGTTGGTAGGGACAGAATTTCTCATAACATGAAAACATGGATCCATCCTGCCTTGTATCGAGTTTCAGGTTTGCACTTGTGGAGTAATTGTTCTGGGGACCATTTCTTGGCACACTTTGGGCCCCTTAGCTCCAACTTAGCACGAAGCTGTCACAATGCTCAAATCATCTCAAACTGGTTTCTTGAACATGACAATGAGATCACTGTACTGCAACAGCCTCCACACCTCCAAGTCATTAGAGCACCTTTGGGAGATTCACAGCTGACAAATCCAGCACCTTGTTGAATCTATGCCACGAAGAATTAAGCCAGTGCTAAAGGCAAAAGGGGGTCCGACCCAGTAGTAGAAAGGTGCACTAACATATACAGGGTGTATCATCATAAAGACTCATCCGACTTCAACGTGCTTTATTTCCATGGATGTTCACTAGTAACGATCGAAACACATATTGTCAGAAAGGGGGGATTCGTGAGATCCACGTGGTTGCCAGTAGGTAGCTTAACAACAGCAGTGACTCCAGACATGCTTGCAAAGTATGGGACGAGTTTGACTATCGTATGGACAGATGTCATGTGTCTGGCATCTGTAACCGAGCAATTTATCTATATCCATTACTTTAAAAAAATAACAGTTTTGATATCTATCTATCTATCTATCTATATTTTTCTATCTATATTTATCTTTATCTCTATCGATTGATCAATAGATCGATATAAAAAAGAAGTACAGATAGCTCTTCATCTTAAACTTTTGGCTTCACATAAAATTTGAATTCTGCTAATCTTCTGCTTGATGCATTCACAAATCGTTTCACTACTTGTACTACTTTAAAAGGACTCACAAGATATTTTCTGCATGATGAGCCGCATTTTTTTAAGGCGTGCAAATGGAGCCTGGTCTACCAGAAGTCTAGCTCGTTCTTAGAAAGCCTAAATGACAATATCCTGCTTGGATTTTTGTCAAGTGATCCTGAAAACAGGCTGACTTGTGCCACCTGAATAAATTCTAACGTTAATTTTAGCAAACTTGAATTCTTAAACACTAAACCGACCCAATCAGAGCATCTTTGATAGCAAAGTGTTGTTCCTTGGTAATTATTTAAATTCAAATTTAAACACATAACTGTAAAATAATCATATGTGCATTTGTAGATTTACCTGAAATACATGCAGGGAAGAGTACTGTGCCCTTTTTTAGCAGAGTCACACACACAGGGTGCTTACAAACTCAATTTAAAATAATTTAATAGGGCAATGTAATGCTGCCAGTGAGGCAAAACCCAGAGGGGAAAAAAGTCAGCAAATCATACTGCTGCTGCTGCTTCTGAGCTGGTGAAGGTGCACAGTGTTAACTCAAGTCTCAAAGAGACAGTTAGCAGTGTTTGAAGAGATTTTAGTGCCCAAATCAAACTTAAACATAAAAATATGAGGAGACAAATTGGATTTTGAAAATTA